TCCTCTAACAATGTATTACAGAACTAAGTAGTGAGTGAATATCATATACCTCTTTTGAGCATATAAACATTGATTTTGGTAAATTTAAAATGTAGAAGACTTGAGTGAGATTTAAAGAAAACTAGCAGCCAGCGTCACTTTGTAACTTCAAAATCTGTGTTATATTTGAATTAATTTACAATTTTCTACTGCTCCGAGTTAAGTAGAAAATAATCTATTTTTACTAAATCATTACTTACCACTGACTTTTTGCAAACCCTGAATATAGAAAGTAGTTTTTCTAATAAAATATGAAATCATGTATAAAACAGTGAACACAATATAAAGCATCACAAACAGCATACATACTACTTCATTCACTAGTCCAAGTTCAAAAAGAGTTACTGAATTGGCCACGGCTAAGGGCGGTTGATAAGGGTGAAAACGATTATTTCTTATCATATCCCTATTATTTACATTGCTTGCCCTATTATTTTCATTGTGTGCACGATCTCTTTGAGGCATCTTAGAAAAATTACAAATACTAATGAAACATACTATGAAAACACAGAATCTAACATCATTGTCTTCTTTACATGCTCAAGAAATAAGGCCTACAATATTTTACTTGAATTCACTAATCACCAACTTTAACAATAACCTCATTTTTGTAAGGATGTAAACAAAATTGTATCATGGTCATCTGTTTTGATGTAAACAAATGTAAGTTAAACTTGAAAAAGTTCAGATGATTGACAACAGAATTCAGCACAAACTCAGAAATTTTTAAAGCCTATAAGACAAAAGGCTATTACGGGATATCATCCCAACCCGCAAAAGGCAAATCTAGAGGATAAAAGCTTAAATTTTTTACCCTATGAAAAATAAATATTTAGGGGTTGATTTGCTGAATAAAAAAATTCACTAATTCTTTCAATAATATAGATTGTGTAGTTTTAAAAAGTGTTCTTGTAGCTTAGAAAACTGAGACAAGTTAACATAAATTAATGGTGTTGAAAGTAATAAATTGGTGACACTGTGGCTCAGTCAGCAACACAGTGGTCTGTAGAATCAAGGCATGTTTGAGGTTTGCGTACCCGTACCACTTTGATCAATTCAGTTCATTTTCTTTGCACTTGTTCGATACAATCTGCACACTATGAATCCCAGGTGGACAAAGAAACTCAAGGTTAAAAGGGACTGCCAAAACCTATTTCTTACAAAAATGATAATTCATGTTAGATATATCAAATGAGTTTTGACCGGATTTTTCCCATGATAGATTTGGAGCGGAGTTTCTAACCATGATACTAGCTGCAGTCCTAGGTCCTTTGGGAGGGATAGCACTGTTTGTTCCGATATACCACCCTCTCCACGACCTCTACAAAATCCACTCGGAGGTCACCTTCTTTATACTCTTCTCTATTGCTTTACTCCTGGCTTGGTCTGGCGAGAAATATCCAGCCAAAGATGGAGAAGTCCGTAAGTATAGGTACTATACTGTACCAACTTGGGGAGCGAGCTGGCGTAGTGGTTAGAGCGCGGGACTTCAGTCCCTGAGGTCCCGGGTTCGATCCCCGCCAAGTCACCAATGGATTTTATCTAAGTGATAATGCCGCAACCCCTAGGTCTAGCCTGAAGTAATGTGAAAAACAATTCCAGGCTCGTGCCTAGCGTCCTAGGACAAAAAAAAAAAAAAAAAAAAAAATACTGTACCAACGATATAAACAACTGATGGATCGCTGGCTCAGTGTTGGCCGCGCGGTCTAGCTTCCCCCACCATCTGCTGGCAGAAGCCGACGCAGCCTATACACTCGCAATTGTAAAACGCACATTTTTAGTTGCTGCTCAGTTTAAATATATAGGGATGAAATATTGCCAACACTTGTCAAACTATTTAAACCTTTATATCTCTTTTGTTTCTTGCAGAAAATAGCCCATCTGAATTCATTAAAACTACAAAGTCACTAAACCCAATTTTTGGGTGTTTTTAGAAAACTGATATTGCTAGTTCCAAATTGTACAAGGTAAAATAATAAGTGACTAGCAGAGTACCCGTCCTTCGTACGGGGTTGGCATATAAGTATCAAATGCTTATAGCAGTTATGAGTGAGGACATGGTTTAAGAAATTTCGGTTCTTTTTGAAGTTCGTTCGCTACGCTCACTCACCTTTAGGTTGGAGCTCGTTCGCTGCGCTCACTTTCCTTCAGGTTAGCTCGTTCGCTACGCTCACTTGCCTTCAGGTTAGCTCGTTCGCTACGCTCACTCGCCTCCAGGTTGAAGTTCGTTCGCTACGCTCACTCACCTTTTGGTTGCAAATTAGCTGTTGTCATAAATGTAAAAGAAATAATAGTGCTAGTGCTGCACCCTGTTGGTAATCCTTGTAACTTTAATGCTATTGAACATCACAGAACAGAACCAACTTGTTTAATTGAAACAGCTGTTAAGATTCAATAATTTCATTTCTCATAAGGTTAACATGGGAAACTCCAGAGCCACTGGGGCGGAGCCGAAAGGATTTTTGAAATAAGAATATGCCTATATGTTAATCGGGAATGTGAGCTATCATCATGCCAAATTTCAGCCCAATCCGACCAGTATTTTTTGAGTTTGAGCCACTGGGGCGGAGCCCGAAAGGATTTTTGAAATAAGAATATGCCTATATGTTAATCGGGAATATGAGCTATCATCATGCCGAATTTCAGCCCGATCCGACCAGTAGTTTTCGCGTTTACTTTTCATATACACACAGACACCACCTCTTTTTTATAATAGTATAGATAGATTACAATGGAGAAATAGAATGTACAATATTTGTAATTGAAATCCTATTTTATTTAACAAAAAAATGTAACATAAGCATTTAGAATAGTTTTGCTAAGTTTATGCCTAAGACATAATGTTATGTTTGACTTAAATGCGATAATTTTTTCTTTCAGTGTGTAATGACAATGTATCTTACAAATAAGTCACAAAAAAGAAAGAAATAAGTAGGCCTATCGCGTTAATGTGAAGCATAGATCTGCGGTAAAAACTGGACAAATGTAGTCGGGGTTTTAAGAGTTCAAATACGTTATTTTCTGCAAAAAAAGAAGAAGACATAAAGTTTAGAATAGTAAAAAGAGTTTGGCATGCATTAGCAATATTTTATATCTATATATTTCAATAGAACAGCAACTTAAACAAGTGTGTTTTACAATGGTGAGTATATGGACTGCGTCGGCTACTGCCAGTGGTGGGGGAAGCTAGACCAAAAACAGCGTCCGCAGTGCTACTGAGAGCGCAATCCAGTAGTTCTTTACATCGTTGTACTATACTACCTGCAATTATTTTCATCGATGGTTGCATTTTATTTCTAATTAGCTGACCTCATATTGAACTTTTTTACAAATTACAGTAAAGTATTGCCTTGAGCTTCATCTCAGAGTTAAACCTAGCTTCAAAGTCTTTTCTCGATAAAGAACTGACAGAAGAAGTCATTGAAAAAAATCGTTGAAGATGACGAAGATGAGGCTGAAGGGATCTTCAGAACTTCTAGAAAACGTCATCAGTATTGTCTCTCCATCTTTTTCAATAACACTGACATTTTTAACAATTAAAACTATGTGATGTCAATGGAGTTTATATTTACCGAGAATTTCTTGAATCAGAAGATTTTGTGATACAACATGGAAGGAAAAACACTTCTACTCGTAAAGTTACACTATGTTTGATTCAGGGTTAAGATGGAGATGGCTGCCTTTGCTGGCTCTCCTGGTCCATTACTTGGTGTTCCTCAGCCTAGTCATCTTTGGTCAGCCTGAGAAGGAAATTTCTGTTGGTCTTCACGAACCCATCGGACCTTGCAATCTCACTCGGCCTGTCCAGACAATATTAGGGGTAAGAAAAAGCAGTCGAGGATACACGGGTTCACGATAAAATTACCACTGACTTGTAATAATAGACTTCTAACAAACTAGGCCGTGAGAAAGATTGTCCACACATTGCAAACTCAGAATGGAACCAGTTGCATTTGGCCAGTAAATGTTTACACACTTCTTTGTGTCTTAAGAGGCAGCTTGCCTTGGTGCAACATTTATTCTGTCCAACTAAGCTGTTTTTGATAAGTTCTCAAGATGCTGTGGCAGCTGATAATGTATGACTAAAACAAGAGTGTGAGAAAAACAAAATAAACCAAACTTGACTGTGATAAGAGCTTAATAAACGTTAATTTACAGACAACACTCATATTATATGGGAACAGGTTTTAAGGGTTCAGGCCAGAATTGATTAAATTCTTTGATAGAAATAGAAGGCTTACCTGTACAGTGAGTAATATTTCAATTTTGTGTGTGTAGGTAAGCCTGTTCTTCCAATCAAAAACAAAATCAAATGTATATATAATTTCATTAGACACCTAGAATTATTGGTCCACCAGCAATATGAGTGATATTAAAATTTTAATGTTTTAGGTATTGAGTAAAAGAGAGTTTCTGTGTGCTAAGGACTACGATGAAAGTTACTACGACTTCCACTGCGCACCAGGAGGTGTACCGAAGGGCACAGCCAAGTGGTACACTATATGCGGAACACCCTTCCAGAACCGTCCTGAATACATTGCTGTGATATCCACACTCACCATGTTGGCCCTTGGAATCATCTCCAACATTTACTTCAAGTCTAAAAAGGACACTCAAGACACAAGGACTTTAAATGTGAAAAAACAAAAGTCTCACTAAGTGCAATTAAAGATAAGTTATTTTTTGTAATAATTGTTAGTTGTTGTTTTAATCCTTATCAAGTTGAAAATTAGTGGAGATATAATCAACATTAGTGGTAAATCATCTTTATTAAATATGGCTGACTGAAAAAGTCAGTGGTAATAAGTTAATTGTGTCTTTGTATAAAAAGTAAAAAGCCGAGTCTTGTAATTTTTGTTTTTGGAGAAGAACCAGTCATTATCCTTAGTTTCTGTGATGATCTTTCCTGTAATGACTTAACATCGTTTAAATGATTTTTAGGAGAAAAAAAACGATTAAAATACAAAAGATTATTTTATTAAACTAAAAAACAAATAATGCTAAATTAAACATCAGAAACGGTATTTTTCCTACTAACACAGACTTAATTCTAAACAGTTTTACAAATTTGAATTGACAATCACTATAAATGAACATGGAAAATGGTTGAACAAGTGAAGGTGTCTGGTTAGTCTACTAGGAAACATTCATGTTCACATTTCCAATCTGTGTCGACCTCATTATGGCTTACAACTATTAAGGAATGAACTGTAAATACAAAAGACTTTTTCAGATATAAACACTCGATCAGACCTTAACTATACACCATAGAATCTTCTTAATTTTGAATTTTGTACCGATCTGAAAGTGCAAATACTTTAATGTCACATTTTAATTATATCAAACAATACGTCATGTGAAAATTGAATACATAGTCTTTTCAGAAATGAATAACTGAAACATCATGAGCGTTGTGTAACGCGTCACACAGTGTTTATAAATTCACCACATCACAGGGAACTACACCGTCGTTTTACAGTTATGGCCGCCGGTCTGTTGTTGGTAAACTTCTATAGTATCCCCTTCCTCCATCTCTAGGGTAAGGGGGGTGTCGCTCTCATTTATTGCTTGTCCATCAAAGCGAAATCTGACAGCTGCCATGGCAAGCCCCTGCAAAGAAAAGCAAGGATTTACACAGAGAAACCACCTTTTTTTTATTTAGAGAAACACTAGTTTGTCAATAATAGTCCAGGATCTGAAGGGGGTTGAGCAATGAGCATGCATGAAAAGGGTGACGCAATTTTATTTCTGATTGTTGTTATAGGCACTATAGTGATCACGAAAACGCATGTCGCCCCCCCCCCAGCGTGGTCGACAACCCGGGGAGGAGGGGGGCAATATGGCGGGGGGCGCCGTTTACTAAAACGCCTATAACTCGAGAACAATTCTAGGTAGAACATTGCAATAAACGTCAATTTACTCAAAAAATTATGATCTTTAAAAATGTTAATGTAGTGAAATTCGTATTTTTGATGGTTTTTTAGTTATTTTATATTGAAGCTAAAAATCAATATGGGGTTATGGGGTTAAAATAGGTTTTTCCCATTTTTGACCCTAATAACCAAACAAATTGCAATTTATTTCTTAACCCATTTTGTAGAGCTTAAAAAAAGAAATAATTTAGTATAGCAAAGGGCTGTTGTATGCCTAACGGTTATGGATATAGTTAAAAAAACTGTTGTAGTTTGCTTATATATGGATATATTATAATCAAATTTGGCAATTTTGTTTATTTCATACTAAGCTATCAACATTTCAATATAAAACTCACCTCAATACCTTCCCTGTAGCAGCAAACCTAGGTACTCATTATAATTCATTTTATTTAAATAGGAAATAAAGCTGACAGTTTTCAGGGAATATTTGAGTATAATATAATATTGAGTCTGCAGGTTTACTGCGGCAGGGGTACTTTTTAAAGCAACCGAAATTACAAGTACCAAGAGACACCTTTTAAGGATAAACATAGCTTTTATGTTTGTAGATCTATGAATAAAAAAAATTGATGAAAAATCAGGAAAAAATTATAGGAAAAACTGTTCTTTACTTAAGGTCCGTGAAGTTGGCGTACCCATATTAGCGTATCCACTTTTGATCATACCAATCGTTAGTTCATCGTTAGTTCTCGATAGTTCCCAAATGTTTTCGTTAGTTCTCAAAAAATAAAAAAGTTATAGCCGATAATAAGTGGGTACGCTAACTTCACACTTCCGGGTTCTAGCGCGCGCCGTTTTCTGATGAGAAATGTTTACATCTATATATCAATCGTTAGTTCTTCGTTAGTCCTCGACAGTTCCCAAATTTTTTCGTTAGTTCTCAAAAAATAAAAAAGTTACGAGGCATACAAAGTGGGTACGCTAACTTCACAATTGTACAATTTCCAGCGGGCACAGTTTTTTGACTATAAATGCCTATACCAATCGTTAGTTTTTCGTTAGTTCTCGATAGTTTTCTAATATTAATGTTAGATCTCTAAAAACAAAAAGGTTATAAAGAATACAAAGTGGGCACTCTAACTTCACAACTATAGAATTTCCAGTGGGCACAGTTTTCTTACTATAAATGCCTTTATCTATATACCAATATTTAGTTCTTCGTTAGCTCTGGATAGTTCTCAAAAATGTACACTCAACTATTCTTTCAAACATTCATAGCATCGTTCTTAAACAGTTTAGAAATACGTTTAAAATTAAATGTGTTAGATTATTAATATATAGCCTACCGAGAATAAATATTTTTATCTTATGATAAATTTTTTATAATAAAATAATTAATTAAAATTTAGTTTAATGATTTGCAAAAAGGGGGTTTTATTCAAGTTCCATGCCTATAGCCGGCTCCAGACTGTACCTACGCTCGCAAGTAGCAAATGGCAGCAAATGCTCGTCCTCGTGTTTTCCGTTCATTGCCGGTATTTTTGCACACATCAAAGTGAACGAATATCTTTGCAATTCCCGAAACGAACAGTTTTTGGGAAAACAACACATGTGTGTAGATGTTTTACTCGTTAGATCGTCGACCGGCAAATATGTCGTGTTTTGGGAGTGGCGCATGTCTGGAGACAGCTTATTTTGTTGACGGAAGAACTTGAAATGGCGCTTGACACGGCTTAAAAGTTGAAAATGACTCTAATCTATTTATTTTGTATAGTAGTATACTGTAAGCATTTTTCGTCGAATGAAGGTGCGCGCTGGAAATCAGAAGTGTTAAATTAGTTTATCTATTCATTATGGGCTATACGTCTATTTATTTATTTATTTATAAGTGACAAAAAAATTGTATAACTATCGAGCAGAGATAACGACTGGTAAATAGATATAGGCGTTTTTCTTCATATGACAGGACGCGCTAGAAATCGGAAATATCATTAATATAACCACTTTATCAGCCATAACTTTGTTTTATTTATTAGAACTAAAGAAAATCCTGGAGAACTATCTAGAAGTAACGATTAATATTTATTTTATTTTATTTTATTTTGCATTCCAACGGATAGCTCCATTTTAATATTTGGTACAATTATACATGGAATAACATAGAATACTTGCTTACTACACTAGCCTTGTTATGCTATAGTTTACTGAAAACAATGTAAATGAATTAGTTAATAAGGAAAACGAAAAGGAGAAACGGCAAAAAGATGGCAAAAATAACAGCGGCAAGCAACAAAACGAGTGGAAAACATAACAATAACAGCATAGCTAATAAAAAATAATATAATAAAAAGAATTTTTTCGTCAGATGCAGTTGCACGCTAGAATTTCTGTAGGTGTGAAATTAGCGTCCTTATTCAGCTTCAACTCATCAGGTGCAATTTTTAAATCTTTTTAGAACTAACAAAATAAATCGGTGAGCTACTAAGTACTTACGATTAATATTAAGATATAGGCACTTTTAGTCAGACGAGGGTGCATGCTAGGAATGATTTGGGTGTGAGGTTGGCATAACCACGTTTAAGACCTTATTGGCTTTTTAATTTTTAAGAACAAGCAATAATATTGGGGAACTAACAAGAAATAACGAAGAACTAAAAATTGGTATATATAGATATAAGCGTTTTTAGTCAGAAAACGGTGCCCGCTGGAAATTTTATAATTTTGAAGTCAGCGTACCGTAGAATGGGGTGAATAGAAACAACAGGGTGAATAGAAACAAAACTTCAATGAATGATTCACATTTTTATAACTTTGTTATACATTGACTTTATAGAAGGGAATTATTTTCCCCCATTATAACCATATCCTATCTACATGGGAAAAATTATTTCAGCATATTGGTATCACTGCTTCGGATGTTGGATGATGCGAAACAAAATTTGAAAATTTTGGCGAAAAACATTCTCTTCAAAACTTTCTCTCTAAGTATGAACCTATTACATGTATTTATGTTAATAACCATTTTTTATATTGTCTTAGGGATCTTAAAACCAAGTGGGTTAATAGATTAGCCTTAAAATAAACTATATTTTTTTACTTTATTTTTAATTTAGGTTATGTCATGATTTTGCAAAACCAGTTTTTTGAGTTTTACAACAGTTTTTTTGATTCTCCGTAAGAATAACATGGGCATTTTGAATTTAAGTTTTTTTTAACTATATCCATAACCGTTAGGCATACAACAGCCCTTTGCTATACTAAATTATTTCTTTTTTTAAGCTCTACAAAATGGGTTAAGAAATAAATTGCAATTTGTTTGATTATTAGGGTCAAAAATGGGAAAAACCTATTTTAACCCCATAACCCCATATTGATTTTTAGCTTCAATATAAAATAACTAAAAAACCATCAAAAATACGAATTTCACTACATTAACATTTTTAAAGATCATAATTTTTTGAGTTAATTGACGTTTATTGCAATGTTCTACCTAGAATAGTTCTCGAGTTATAGGCGTTTTAGTAAACGGCGCCCCCCGCCATATTGCCCCCCTCCCCCCCGGGTTGTCGACCACGCTGGGGGGCGACGACATGCGTTTTCGTGATCACTATAGTGCCTATAACAACAATCAGAAATAAAATTGCGTCACCCTTTTCATGCATGCTCAACCCCCTTCAGATCCTGGACTATAATGTTGACACTCTCCTATGACAAAACATGAAAGGTATTTTGCCCCAGTGGAACAAAACAAAGGACATTGAATATTCAGGGTGTATACAAACTCTCTGGAACGCTTTTCAGGGTGTAAACAATGAAATTCCAGGGTTTTCCAGGAGCCTGCCTCAATGTTTCCCTCGTGAATGTTTAGTCCCACTTAAACAATATACATCACATGTACTTAATTTTAATGGTGTCAATGTTCAGTGAGCTACTGTTGACAAAATAATAATCCTTATCATAATCATTTTCATTGTCATCCCTTTATGGTCACGAAAACATTCTCTCTTTCGATAGCAGCATAAGCCTGAATATTATCTCCATTGTTCATGAAAACATTATCATCAGCGGAAAAATCCTAAATATCCTTCCACGGTGAAGTAAACGTAATCACAGACTTCCGCAATCGTGGCAAAATCCACAAACAAATCAAATTTGCTGAGCTTATTCTTTGAAATGTTTTGTATAACTATGCGATTTTTTTATTTATTTAAAAATATGAATTTTGTGTTTCTAAAAATTGTTTTCTTAAAATAATGTTTGGGGTGTATACTTCCCCCTTGATCTGGGGTAAGTGTACACCCCCCTTATTGTTAGGCCCACTTTTATTAACGGGCAGTATTGCTGAGGCGCCGAAGGTTTGGGGGCGCCCACCGGGTGCCTCTCAACTACTGCCTGCCCGCACTAGAAAAAAATGGGGGCACTGATTTTGGGTTTGCCCAGGGCTCCATTGGCCCTGATTATTGTAGCTTTCAACTGCATATTACTTGATGTTGGGGCAAGTGGATTGTAGAGGAGGAAATTAGCTTTTTTTATTTTTTATTTATCAAAATATCTCAAATGGTTCAAGAGTTATACAGGGAGCGGCAGAAATATCTGACGGTTTTCAAGCGAGTACAGTCCGGCAGCCGAGTGGAGGGGGGTGGTGGGGAGCGGCTCATTCTCAAGGCCAAGTGACCCCATTTCAGTCGCCATGGAGCAGTGGACCGGTATACATCGCGCGTTTGTCGTTGAGGCGTATTTTAAAAATGGCGATTCTGTTGTTGATACGCAACGTAAGTTTCGTAGGCATTTTAATGTGGCTCGTGGGGAACCTATCCCATCCCGAAACACCATCAAATTGTGGGTGGATACCTTTAGATCCACAGGATCAACTGCAAAACGTAGGCCTATAGGCCGTCCAAGGTTATTGAGGACGCCGGAGAACGTGGAGCGAGTGCGACAAGCTGTGCTAACATCGCCCGGCGCGTCGACAAGCTGCTGCTCATGGCATGTCTGATCTACTATTCTACGAATTTTGCACTCAGACCTTCACTTTCACTCATATAAAATAGCAATCATCCAAAAACTTCAGCCTCACGACCACGCTAATCGTCAAATATTTTCAGAGCAGCCCGGGCGATGCGGGCTCGTTAGCACAGCTTGTCGCACTCGCCCCACGTTCTCCGGCGTCCTCACTGACCTTGGACGGCCTGTAGGCCAACGTTTTGCAGTTGATCCTGTGGATCTAAAGGTATCCACCCACAATTTGATGGTGTTTCGGGATGGGATAGGTTCCCCACAAGCCACATTAAAATGCCTACGAAACTTGCGTTGCGTATCAACAACAGAATCGCCATTTTAAAAATACGCCTCAACGACAAACGCGCGATGTATACCGGTCCATGGCGACTGAAATGGGGTCACTTGGCTTTGAGAATGAGCCGCTCCCCACCACCCCCCTCCACTCGGCTGCCGGACTGTACTCGCTTGAAAACCGTCAGATATTTCTGCCGCTCCCTGTACACTTTTTTGTGAACCTCCGAAAGGGAAAACTAAAACCACAGCTTTATTAGAAATTCTAAAGAAAATAAAAGCCTTATTATTCTACTATTTCATTGAATTAACACAAGTCTCAAAGAGTAGAAAATGAGCTTTATTTTGGTTTTTTAATAATTAAAATATCTTAAACCATACAGTTTTTCGTAAACCTCCGCTCGGTGAAGTAACTTAAAACCTTAATATTTTTAATAGTAGGCCTAATTGACTTAGGCCCTTTAACTGAGGCCGTGGCGTTCGAAGTGGCAACACCACATGGGATGGCTGAATGGCTACGACTACGCTACACCACTGAACGCTCGCACCAGTCGCACCACGGAGGATTAGAGCAAGCACGCAAAATTATCTATTAATTTAGATGTTATATATATGACAACACTGATGTGTATGAAAAGAAGGAAATAATCATACGAGGCTTTTGTGTCAATACAAGAAAATATTTATTAAAACCCTTTATTGGTACATTGAACATTTAAGTATTATTAACGATGAATTGTAGTTTTATTCTGTCTATTTAGCGTATCTACTCTAGTATTTTTTATTTGTTAAAATGTCAATCCTATTTACATTATTATTTAATTAGGGCCTAACTCTTCTAAATAGCCTAGGCTATTGTTTTATCAATATTATTAGAATAATGACGTTTAATATACAATTTAAAAATTATAGCCTAAATGATTGGTTATATTTAGAGGATGAGTTATTGTTTATGATTATATCATTTGTTTGGTAGAACTGGGTTTTAAATGACTGAAATAACAAGAAACAAAATGTAAACAAAACACAACATCTTGATCTACTGTGCACCGGACAGAACTAACGATAAAATTGGCTTCAGCTGTTCCAAAAGGATGGGAAATCTACTAAGGGTTTTAACATCTCTGACCAACAAACAACAATTTTAGTAGGCGACTAGCGGACTAGCTTTTTCACTTTACTTCTCCAAACTTTTTCTAAAATTGACTTTTATTGCCAAAACAAAGTTATTTTTGAATTCCCTCTCAAAAAATAAGCAAGTTCACTAAATTTCAGTTAGTTATCCTTGCATTTCAATTTTTAGTACCGTAATTTTTTAAAAATTTTCAGAGTGGCAATTGTGTTATGAGTAGAAACGTAAGAGGTTCCTAAACATGTCTTAACTCATAGAAATCATAGCAAGAGAATTTATTTGTGATTATAACTTAAAATAGCATAGTTTTAAATACCTTTGGCCAAGTTTCCATATTTTTTTGTTAATAAACAAATTTATTATTAGCTAGAAATCCACTTGCCCCAGGCGTACACTTGTATCCCACTTGACCAAAAGAATAACTTAGGAATTTTAAATTAAAATTTTTTTGAATTTTCTCTGTTACCTACCAATAACCATACAAAAAGACTTTGATATAGGAAACCATTTGTTTTTTAAGCTCTATAAAAAAATCTTGGGAAAAATTGGGAAACTTTGTGTTTTAGGGTCAAAAATGAGAAAAACCATTTTATTACCCCATAAAACACCCCACCCCGTAAAACCCCTTTCCCATGGTCCGATCATGCTGGTTCACAAACTCATTTAAGTTTATCCTGCCTTACATCTTTAAGTTAAAAACCTAATTTCATCATAATCAGACAAAAATCACTTAAGTTTTAAAACATATATAAAAATTTGAATGGTGTTTTAGGCCTTTGAGGAAATCAAAATGAAAAAGTCAATCGATCCCGGGCCTAGGTCTTACCGTGCCACTTACGGTAATAACTATTTCCTAATTGGGAAATTTTCCAAAACAGATTTGCTCAGTCTGTTGATAAAATTTGACTGAAAAGCCAACACTACACACTCTCAGAGTTCTTAATCAGCTCCATAATCTAATTCCAATTAAGTTTTTAGTGCAAGTTGTCAGGTTGTAAGCTTAAAATAAGAGGTGTGCAAGCGATCTTTGAGCCATATCGAACAATTGAGCACCTAGTCAGAAAATCAAGCTAAAGCAGAGTGTTTCCCAATGCATCTGTAAAGAATGTGCAATTGAAAAGTTCATTGTTTCACTACAATTGAGGCGGACAATGCAGATATCTGCACGATGCGAAGAGTAACCAAAATCCCCGTACAATTTCCAGTTTTCCCAGTTTCCAGATTGGCTGGACACCCTGTATACCTATTTTAACAAATAGTTTGTTAAAACCAGATTTCGCTTTATGAAGAGAAAGTAAAGATTAGGGATTGTATAGCATGCTTTTGTTGATTAAATTATTAATAAATGTAACAATATCAATACGGTAGTAACAAACAAGACTAATCAACTCACCGCTCGATCGCAGTAGGCATTCATCAGTTTACGTAGAGGAGTGTGTTTTTTAATTTTAAATTGCACGATAGCATTATCTTGTCCCATGACTTTCAAGTTGATGTGCTCAGTTTCTCCCGCCTGAAAATTGAAAGATGAATCATTAATGCACATATACCTACAATCACTGTAGGCCTACTAAATACCCCCACCGCAGCAAACCTGCAGACTAGGCAAGTTTACATTTAGGCCTAAGCCTGATTTGATTTTTAATTCAATCTATTTCAAAAACATTACGTGGTAGGGCCTACTTTCCTGTTAAAGGGAACAATCATTATTATCTATGATTTCTTTTCAATAGGTATATCATTGATATTTTATTTTTCTACTTATCCGATATATATTGATATTAATAAATCAGAACATATCAGCTGACAACTAAGGATAAATAAATATTTTTCAGTATCAACAAACTTAAACAAAAAATTATATTGAAATGAAACTGTTCTAAACTAAGCTTGAACCAGCCCAACTTACTGTAACATTTCAAAATTCCGTTCGATAGCATATTCCCCATATGCTTTTTCTGTTATCAAACAAAATTTTGAAACATTGACTTAGCCTACAGCACTTTGGTTAAGTTTAGATATGTTAGGTTAGTTTAGAATAGTTTCATTTCCCAATCCAATGGGTCTATCCATATCCAGTGATCCAACAGGGGTTGCTTACGACCATTTTTAAAATAAATAATATTTTTATCCTAGATAGGCCTACCTCTATAAATTCTGGGTTCAAAAGTGATTTACATTTTTTTTTATCTCTTTTGCTACTTCTACGGCGGCCATTTTTGTTTTGCGGAACACGCAAATTTTTGCTCATGTAAGGGTTTGTGTTAACTTGCATAACTCAGTAACCACAAACACTAGAGTGAACAAAAAACATTTTCATCTGGAAGAAACAGCCTAAATACGAGGGCTATCCAGAAAGTAGATTACGTTTTTGTCTGTATCCGCTAGGGACGGGGCTAGCGCGACCATCTTGGTGTTATTTCGTTATGCAGCTCAGTCGGCATCTAGCCGTGCTAGTAAGAAGTTTCTGCTGTACTCCGTTGAGTTACTGTGACACTTTAAAATGTCTGTGTTAATTGAAAATGACGCAAACTGTGAAGTACATGCAAAAAAAAAAAAAAAAAATGAATGGACTCTTTGGTTACAGTTTGGTAACCAAGCTTTTCGGTTATGATATTGTGCATCAAACTTCACAAAATTTTTGGAAAACCCATAGAGAGTTCTGTTATTGTGAACTTTCGAGTTTTACGGATATCGGCATCGACTTTTTCAGAAAGTTCCGCAGTCACAATGCTGGGTCTTCCACTTCGCTCTTCGTCGTGAACGTTAGTTCGGCCATTTTTTAATTTGATAACCCACTGACGAACTCATCCACCTTTCAGTAATAATGTTCTCCCCATAAACTTCACAAAGTTGCCGATAGATTTCTATCGGTTTACAGTTTTTTGCAGTCAAAACCCTTATAACTGTGCACGCACTTCACAGTTCGCAGCAAATTAACACAGACATTTTTAACTGTAACAGTAACTCAACAGAGTACAGCAGAAACCTCTTACTAGCATAGCTAGATGCCGACTGAGCTGCATAACGAGCTAACACCAAGATGGTCGCACTAGCCCTGCCCCTAGCAGAGACAAAAACGTAATCTACTTTCTGGATAGTCCTCGTATTATGTTCAGTACATATTTATTGAAATGTGTATCAATAACAGTTTTCAACCCATCTCAACACTTCATAAGAAAACGGAAAAATTTCAACTTCTGAAGGCGTATTACCGTTGGAACGAATAAAATCTCAGACTTGATTTTTTTGTGTGTGTGTAGGAACTCAGTAGAACTGTTTGTATTTCAATATCAACCCTGAGACTTTTAATTCCTTTAAAAGTTATAATTTTTCAAAAACCTAATAAGTTATTAGTATGATATAAATCAACAAAGGATGCAGAAATTAAGTAAATTATGTTTCAAACAATTTTGGTTATTATCAACCCTGTACCTTGTTCAAAGCCAGAAGAAATCTCAAGACAAGAGAGGCTTCAACGGGTAGAGTGAACTTTGTAGCTCTACCACATTTCAAACACATAGGCTAGCTAACCAAGGTTATGTTGCAATCAAAATGAAGGAAAACATCTGAAGTTTTTTTTTTAATAGGCCTATACCTATTGAAAATAAAGGTAACATGAAGTCTTATTATTAGTGTTGGATTTTTTAAGTGTCAACTACTGGCTCGGTGTCAACTACAAATGTACCAGTAGGCCTACTGGTACACCTTAAGTTAGGCCTAGCTTATTTTCCCGACCCAGCTATACTTATGTGGAGTTTCAGTATAAAACAAAGTAAATTTAGAAATAAACTTGGCTGGTAAAGTTCATCTTATCTAGGGGTACAGTTTCTTAACTGGGCTATGCTAATATCGATTGAAACTAAGTTATCAGTTTGATTAGTAAACCTTCATGTGATTTTTCCTACATCAGCAAGTTTGGTTGGTTCGGTTAAGTTATGATAGTTTAAATTTATAATGGATATTTAACTTAAAAATATTGATTATTTATAAATATTTTCATTTTGATAGTTTCAATCGATATTAGCATAGCCCAGTTAAGAAACTATAGGCCTACCCTTAATTTATCTAAGGCCTAGTTCAGTACCTACTTAGGATTGATATCGTTTGGTTAGTTAGATAAGGGTTTAAACTAAACAACCGAATAATGAATATTACCTACTCATTTGGTTGTTTGTGCCAACAGATAACTTATGGATGTATAGGCCCGCTAGACCTAACTTAGTCTAAATAAAATGAATTTCCAATTGTTTTAAGTAAAGTTGGGATAAAAACCAAGTTCCAGAGATGTACATAGGCCTAAGAACCTAAACTAGGCCTAACTTATGCCTAAGTGTTCTAACATAGCCTAATAAAAGAATATGCAAAATGCCAGGGCATATATTCGTACGATTTACAAGGAGAAATAACTTAGGCTTTGGCCTAGACTAAATTATGATGCTAAATAAATAATAATAAATTATTCTATAACATCGTCTAGAAAACTTATAAAAATGGCCTCATTAAGTGTCCAAGACTCAAAATGTAAAGTAAAAGTGGAAGGACAAGTGTCAGAGGCTTTCTCAGTAGACACTGGAGTGAGACAGGGAGATGGAATATCCCCAATACTTTTCAACATTGCTCTAGAAGAAGCACTACAGAAAGTTAAAAGTTCAGAGGTAGGGATAAAGATAGGAAAGAAAATAAATATTTTAGCCTTTGCGGATGATGTTGCGATATTAGCACATACAAAACAAGACTTAGAAGATCTAGTCAGAATATTGATTGAGGAAACGAAAAAGGCTGGCCTTGAAATAAATGATAGAAAAACTAAATATATGCAATGTGGTAGACGAGATGACCAAGAAGAGGACAATGAAGTCCTGCAGATAGAAAACCATGTTTTCCAAAAAGTGAACAATTTCACCTACCTGGGAGTCTTATTAACAAATGATAATAATGAAGAACTGGAAATAACTAACAGACTCAATGCTGCAAACAGAAGCCTCCATGCATGTAACAAAATTTTGAGCTCAAAGCTGTTATCCCGCAATACTAAAGTAAGAGTTTATAAAACTATAATTAGACCGACACTAATGTATGGATCTGAGTGTTGGGTAATGAGCAAAAAATCAGAAAAACGTTTAGTAACTTTTGAAAACAAAATTCTTAGGAAAATATATGGCCCAACTAAAGAAGATGGATTCTGGAGAATTAGACATAATTTCGAAATAAGAGAGCTATATAAAGACCCAGATATAACAGCTGAGGTGAAAAGCAGACGCATTAGGTGGGCGGGTCATGTCCTCAGAAGAGAACATGGCACAACCTTAAGCAGTGTATTAAGGAACGACCCAGAAGGCAGAAGGCCACCAGGCAGGCCTAAACTGAGATGGAAGGACCAGGTGCGACGGGACTTGAGGAAGCTGGGTAGAAGTGAAGACCAGGCGCAGGACAGAGAAGGCTGGAGGCAATGTGTAGGCGAGGCCAAGTACCACTTGGGGTACCTATGGCCACTGCAGTAAGTAAGTATAACATCGTCTAGGCCTATATACATAAGTTGAATAAAGTAGGGGACAACTGGCAGCCTTGCCCTACACTTGTGTGTGATTTTACACTTCAGATACTTTATTGTAAGTTATTCCGCTTTGACACAAAAACTTACTTCATCGTAGCCTAATAGTTTGAATTATCTTTAACATTTTTGAGCTTATTCCTTTACGTTGCATTTTATACCATAAGGCCTCTCTTGATATTGAATCGTAAGCTTTATTAAGGTCCACAAAACAACAATACAGCTTGCCCCTTTTTTATAGTTCTCTATCTATAAGTGTCCTTAGGCCTAAGTAATACAAATAGGCTACATTGTCTATCGTTGAATAGCCGTGCTTAAAACCACACTGAAAACATGATATCTTTTCGTATTTGTTTGCCCAAGCCCTAATTCGGTTATTTTACTTAACAGTTTTGCATAGCACTTGCCTAACACTGGGAGTAATGTAGGCTAATGGCTCTATACATGTTGGGATCTTGTCTGTCTCCACTGCCTTTGTGTTCTAACATACCGGTAGCCTAATAAAAGAATATGCAAAATGCCAGGGCATATATTCACGATTTACAAGGTGAAATAACTTAGGCCTAGGCCTAGCCTAAATTATGATGCTAGGTAGCTACATCAATTGAAGTATAAATGCTAAGATTATCTAAGCAAAGGCCAAAAATAAATGTGTTAATCCTATGATTGACGCCAAGAATAAAACCCTTGACATAGGCCTAGGCCTTAGACCTAGCCTATCTCTAGGGTTTGATCTGATAAGTAGATGTGCCGAAAGGTTAAGTCTCTAGAGGGAGTACTTCACACGGCTAGGGATCATGGATGATTGAGGTAATGCAAATTGAATAAACAAAGTCCATAGCAAATGGATATAAATAACAAATTGCACAAGTATACATTGTGCTAACGTGTTAAATTGGCATTTTGAGAAGAGGATTTTGCGGCTCGGGGCACGCTTTGAGTTTAAAAATCAATTACAACGTAAGTACACAACCTGTTGGAACCGTTACGGTATCTTTAAAATAGAAGCATAAATACCTTCTTGTCCTCGGTCATGTTGAATTATAGATGTTCGAAGTTAAAAATAATCGCACAATAACTATGGATCACAATCCCCAAAGCGGTAACTTGAAAAATGGCCGACGAACAACGGTGGACGCTGGGAGAAGCAATTGCGGTGGAAGCAAGGAAATCATAAGAAGAAATTGCCCGGTAAAATTCGGATAGGCTTGACTTCACATAAAACCGTTCCTGGTTTTGGAATATCGAAATTCGAAATACATTACTCTTTCGCGATAGCAGTCACTATCGAATGTTTCGAATCCAAGCTCCTGCCAGCGAACAGAAATAATAGTACCGGCTAGTGATGGAAATATCAGTTACTTTGCTCTATCGGTGATCACTGCTACCGTGATTCTTTGGTATCAGTGATTTGTATCAGTGACTAACGGTGATTATACTGCTACCGGCTCCTTTGTCATTTGTTGGATGTTATTTCTGCTAATACCAAACCAATACCATACCTACAATGCTAGCTTCGCGCATGCTTGACATCAACAATTAATTAAATATGTAACAAATAAATGTAATTAATAAATGTAATGTAATTAATTAATATGTATGTTAATTGATATGTAATGTGAATTCCTTTGCTAGGAAATGTGTCGGGTTTATTTTACTAGAAAAAAGTAAAGGTAAATACATTAAATAATCCTTAAGATGAGAAAATAATTTAATTATTTATCAAACAAGGTTCAAATACAAAAAAGTATCTACATAAATAAAAACCGGTGTAAAAGATTTCCTTACAGGACTTGTTTTAGGCCTATTCATTGTTATTCCTAAGAAACAAAGAACGTAGACGAAAACGCGCCCGAAATTGCGAATTAATAGAAATCAGAACTCAGAATAATCCAGCAACAGCAACAGGGTATATGGGTTAGCTACCCATCACATCACGCCCATCACCGATAGCAGCAAACGCGTATCACAGTCAGTCACAGTCCCAGTCACACCACAGTGACAGAGTGACGGTGAACGAGTAACTGTCACCGTTAATCACTGATACTAGACGCCTTGACGTATCAGTTACCACGGTGATTTTCAAATATCAGTGAAATATATCAGTGACGTGATTTCACTCCCATCACTAGTACCGGCATTTCTCTTCTCCTCATCAGTCATCACTAGGGCCAGGGCCCAACCAAGCCGAGGTCGGAAAATGAGCGAGGGTAAAAAGTCACTTTTTGCCCGTGTTCGTGTGGTGAACTATATTTTTCGTTGCATCATTATTTAACAAATACAAAGCTAAAAAACGAAGTAATATTTATGTAAAGATAACCTCTCAAAACGATTTCCAGCTTTTTTCTTCAATTCTGCCAATGCAAATATGCAGCTGTTAGCTATTTTATCTATGGGAGTATGTTTTATCTATGGTTATATTAAGTGATTCAATTATTTCATCTATTACAATTGTGTTACTAAACCATCGATATATCGATATATAGCAATCGAAAACAATAAATGCTAAAACCTTATCTAATAAATCAATCGATAAAATAATGCTCAATGCGACTGATGCAATAATCATCGAAGCTGAAAACCGAAAGAGTCTTCAGATAAAAGCTATCGGGACGGTTTTGTGTAGAGAAGACTACATTTCTGTGGCATCCGAAATGTGATGATGAATGTTAGCACAACACATTAACACAAAGCCAACCAAAATGTTATAAACTAAATCTAAAGCTGTTGTTTAAAAGAATGCCATTACGTACCATAAATATTTATATTATGTTTTCTTTGTCCTAAAATATAATTAGAATCTATATAGGACGACCCATAGGGGTATTTACTCAGGGGACGTATAGATGAGGTTCGATGACAGCTGTGGGCTTCTCATTAGCAGAGGGAAAACCATTAGCGTAACAATACGATTTTCAGCTATCGGCCTCGGTGGTCTAGTGGTTAACGTGCCGGGCTGATATAAGCTGAGAATCTCGGATTCGAATCCCACTGGTGGCACTAACTTTTTGACTAAGCATTTTTCATTATCAGCAAGTTTGGTTGGTTTGGTTCGGTTATGACAGTTTAATTTTATTATTAAGTCATTATACAATTTTAATTGAGCAATTTCTAGTTTTATTTAATGAACAGAATTATTTTTTTTCTATTAATAATCTGTTTTTATATTATTTCATTATCAGCAAGTTTGGTTAGGTTATGATAGTAATTTTATAATAAAAGGATTTTAAAATTGAATTTGAGGCATTTATAATTTTATTTTATGAACAGAACTATTTTTGCAATTAGTAAACCTTCATTTCCAAAATGCTCTCTACTACAGCGCTGTTCACGGAGGAATTTTGAAATAATGCCTCAATCGTACCGCCCCTGTCAGACCAGACCCATTATAGGCGGTCATGTTTCTTTAAAAACTTTTTTTTCAGCTCGTGTGCATCGCAGGTAAAATCAGAAATCCAAGCATACTGTTTAGAGATATATTTTCATGTATATGTGCAGAATCCCTTTAAAAAATTAAAATACCCCCGCCGCAGCAAACCTGCAGACTAAGCGAATTTCCATTTGACTGATTGGATTTACACTGAAATGTCTACTTAAAAATATAACATTTATTCCTGATTTAAATAGAATTAGTTTAACAAGTACTTAGGTTTGCTGCATCAGGGAGGGTAAAACTGTTTTTTTTTGTAAAATGTTAATAGTTAGTAAGAAATAAAAACATTTTCCAAATTTGATCAAAATATGTTCGTAAACAAGCAAACTACAACAGTTTACTCATTCTCCATAAGAATAACATGGGAATTTTAAATTTACAATTTTTTGGAATTTTCTCCGTAACCATTAGGCGCATAATAACGCTTCAATATACTAAATTATTTGTTTTTTGAAGCTCTACAAAATAGTTTGGAAATTAATTGCTAAATTTTATGTTTTTTGGGTCAAAATTGGGAAAAACCTATTTTTACCCCATAAAACCCCCCGTAAACACCCGTTCCCATGGTCCGATCATGCTGGATCGCGAACTCGTTCGAATAGACGTAGGTTTACACGTTTGTACCAAATTTCATCAAAATCGGATCATTTTTGCTCGAGTTATCGTGCTGACGGACACATATATATATATATATATAAATATATATATATGAATTTGAACGGATGGTGTTTTTGGCCTCTAGGGACCTCAAAACGAAAAAAAAAATCGGTCCCGCGTCCAGGTCTTACCATGAGTACTACGGTAATAGCTTATTCCCTATATGGGAAATTCGCTAATAGGCTAAAAAATAAGCACATAAAATTAATTATAAATTTGAAAAAAATTACATTGGCCTTGGGTTACCTTTCTGGTGACGAAATAACGAAATATTAACAGAAAATCAAAACAAATTGAAGAAATTCCAATCATATTTTTTTTTATTTCTACCTTGTAGTGAAAATAGAGAAGTCTATTACATTCAAGTTTTTGACCATTGGACGACCTCTAGTCTACAAATAGACAAGCATGTTTCTTTAAACCTTTTTTTCTCAGCTCGTGTTGAGTAAAAAATAAGCACAAAAAATGAATTTGAAATTGCATAAAAAATTAACATGGGCCTTGTAGGTTGCTATGCTGATTACAAAAAAAAAAAAAAAACTGAAAATCTAAAAAAAATGGAAGGAATTCCAATTACATGTTTTATTTACAGCGTTGGGATAAATAAAGCGATAAAAATAAATATAATATAATAAATAAATATGAAAATAGGGAAGCTTACACCAAAAATATTTTTGGCCGAGATTTCGACCACAGAACGACCAGCCTTTAGAATAGACTGGGACTGTGGCGTGGCGTCCTGTGATCCAACTACTTGACTTGGATGTAACTGTGTCACAAATTGAACTTTAGGTGCCTAAAGCTGGGTTTTCCTAGGCGTGGAAGAGATTAATATGGTGTTCCGCTCCGCTTCTAGGAAAACAGTAACATTAAATTACCTAAGACAGGTGGAGTCTGCTCTCCGCGTTCCCCTCTCTGCTCTCCACTTCCGCGCCTAGGAAAACCCGACTTTAGTTGCCATAGGCATTAACAGTCCTGTCTAAGGAACATGTTGGCCTTAGTTAGTAACAAGACTACAAGATCACGCCACTCATTTTTATTCATACTTAGCTAAAAATACCTACCTTCGTATGGCCGCCATTTGAATTAAAAGAATCAAAGTATTGTCAAAAAGCGTGTGAGCAAATCGAAGAATGATGATTTCAGAGGGTTCCAATCCATAAGAACTCCAGAGTTCTGAGTTACACTTGCTGATCGGGTAGTGATAGCGATAGGTAATGGTAGTGTACAGACTCTATTTGCGATGTGCCCTTATGAAGCACTTCTTATGTTCGGTATGTGGAATAATGTGACAGATCGATTAGAAAGAAATCTGAGCAGTCCATCAAAACTTTTAAGCTGGGTCATTCTTTTTTTTTTTTTTTTAAGGGGGTCATTCTTTTTACACAGAAGGTCGCAGTAATTCAACTTAGTTTCAAACTCCTTATTGTGGAATTAAACACAACAATTTAGTCATCTAATTTCTTCATAAATTTTTTGGCACAGTTTTTTTTTAAATTCATTCACTGCTAATACATAAAAAAACTGATTTACGTATATGATTTTACAGAGTCCAATATTTGAAAACAATTAGAAATATACTGCAATGAGTACCGGTACCTAGAAAAAAAAAAGAAAAAAAATGCCTGAGCAGTTCTTCTTGTAATACAAGCCTCTTCTCCAACTTTTTTTGCTGCAGAAAAAATTTAATTCCTACATGATTGCAATGCGATAGGATCAGACTTCTGTGTACTTTAACCGGAGAATGAACGGGAGCTTTGTTACAGATGACCTGTCATTTCACTACCTGGGACTGATTATTAAAAGCCCATTGATCAAGGACTGTTGGATCCAGTTCAAATTATTAAAAAAACCCACATAGTTTTTAAAGATGGAACCTTTTGATTAACTGAGATTCACTATAACCACTGTGCAGACAAGAATATGTTTGATATATTATAAAAAAACATTACATTTGTACTATCCATCTAAAGGCAATCGACCCCCCTCCCAACACCACCACAGGTACTTTAAGTATGGTACTATTTTTGACAGGCCAAAAAGAGCATTAACGCTTGTTTTAAGTAGCCTAACGTAAGCATAAATAATAGATTCAATGATTAATATGGTTCTAAGTCACTTTTTAATTTGAAATACCCCAAATAATATACACAATTACAGAATTACAATATCCAAATAGAATGACGAATCTTAGTCATTTTCCCTGCTGTAAATTCTAAGATAAGTAACATACACATTTTGTACAGAGGATATCATTTCAGAGGATGCTCATTTTCTATTAATATAATTACAATGTTTTAATATAGTAAACAAATCATTCAAACAATACTCAATTTATCATTCAAATATACAATTGTGGCTGAAATCATACATACGAAAACTGAATTTAATGATAGAAATTAACTTATAAATTATTATAAGAACATCAAGAAAAAGGAAATAAATTACATTACAATAGAGTTGTTACCACACAATCATTAAAAAAGTCTTTAATATTTACCTACTTATTCCTAAATCTATATATACATGTGTCACACTACAAATGACTGAATTGGTTTTTACATACAAGAATTATATAAATAATTCTTTACTCTTAAGAAGAGAAATACTTTTACTGTATCATAATAACCAGATAAAATTAAAAAACAGTGAATAAAAAATAAACACTTTCACAGATAAGTTGATTACTGCTAACTGGAACCACAGTAGTCTTCACAATTTTCACAGAAGTCTTTACATGTAGATGAAATTAAATCTGGAACAACAATCATATAATTACTAGTGCACCTGTTGCTTTAATTCGAGCAATTGCAAAGTATTACAGGCGTTATTTCAAAACAAATAACAGTCATTATTTCAGGTTACTTAAAAGAGTCAAACGTCAACTCAAAGATAATGTAATCAATCACTACACTCCAGTTATTGAAACTGAAAACGAACTCACTCTGTAATTAATATAAATTATTCGTCTGATAAGTAAACAAAATCTTTTATTCATAACAAATACATTGGGATTTTGATGGCCTGTGGGGCAAAGCCCGAGGACTTTTATTACAGGAATTGGTAAAAGGGGGCGTCTACACAAAAAATACTTAATTTTGACACATCGTTTTTAAAAATCTGTATTATATATTAGGATATTAATAGTAATGATTTATGTCACACACTCTTTATGTAAGGTTACATTTCCTAGAAGAATTTGAAGCAAGTCAAAGATGCGTTATTCATTGTTTTATACATAACATTAGTACATTGAATGGGGTCTAGATTTCTTATAACTAATGCAGTTTCTGTTTATAATGTTGAAGACAGCATAATTTCTGCTGGCAAATGCTCAATCTTAGGCCACTATTTATTTTCTTCTTTTAATTTCCTTTTAAATTTTAACTACTGTTGCTTTGGGTCTACTATGGGAGAAATTTTGTCTAAGAATAATTTGGATCCGATATAATTTGACATTTTTTAATGTTTTAACAGTTTTTTTAGACATTTAGACAAACATTAACTTTTTCTGGGTGACTGAAATTGCTGTTTTATTTTAAAAGGACTAGTGATGGACCTTTCTGTAAACAGAATGGTTAATGTTTACTTCACCAAAGCTGTGGCTTTGGGCATGACAACTCTTCAACCTTTTACGTTGTAGGCTACCACACAGAAATAGCCCCCACTTTATGATAATCGTCCACATGGAGGGTAGTAAAATAAAAGGTAGGACAATCGAGACTCTACTGCATCAAAACAATTGATTACTCTGCTCTACACAAAGAGAACATAGACGGAAAACATTGAATTACCTGCACAGAGCTTGTGGAAGGGATGAGATGATGGGTCCGTAACCTTGTGCGTTGTCGTAAAGCTCAAACAGTGGGGCAGCCACAAGCTTGTAGTTTTTGGGAACAGCGAAGAGAGCTACACAAGGACCAAATAACTTGTAAGTAATTCTTCAGCACAAGAGTAGTACTGTATCTACATTAAAAGTTCCTATTTGGATATTAATTGCAAATATAAGTATGTTGACCAATAAAATTTGTAAAAGCAATACTGTACCTGTTTGAATTAATACCCGAGTAAACCTTTGCCTTTAATCAACGTCTTTATGCTTGTGTAAGTTACATACCAGAAGGATGACTGAAATAAAATTATTATCTTCGATAATCAATGTTTAATTGAACATACTAAGTCAAATGTACAAGTATTTACATGGCACATGACAAAACGTTGATACAGTATCTAAATTGATTAACATGGATGAAAATACATCATACAATTAATTCTTAAATTTGAGTGAATTTAGACAGTTTGATGATAAACATAATCCATATTTTTATTTTCAATCACTTTTTACAAAAATGTTTACAAATTGGAAGTTACTATTACAAGGAGAAGTTAACAAAGATTCAATAAGAGATGTTTCTAGATGATCTAGCGGAAATTATAAATTTAAGTGTAATTTTCGTTTTATTACAAAAAATTTTTACAAATTGGAAGTTACTATTACAAAGAAAAGTTTACGAAGATGCAATTAGTTATGATTCTAGATGACCTAGTGTAAACTATAAATTTTAAGTGTAATTTTTGTTTTATTTTAACATGATTTAAAAATTTATAGTTTCATTACTATCATATAATAAATAAAGTAAAAAAAAACAAACTAACTAACAATGGACATCAGAATAGCGCTATTTTGTTCAAGAAGACATTTTGTCCAGTTTTCCAGTTTACAAAAAACTTAAGGAGAAATGTACAGAAATACATTCTGTTTGTTGTTGTTTAAAAAATACAGTCAAAGATAAGCTTTTGCCAATCACAAACTGAGACACTGATGGTTAAGATAAAAGTACAGTAATAGATTAACACGTGATAAAGTAAAAACTGACAAAATTATAATACAGACAGTAGAATCTATTAGATTTCTATTATGATTTTCTCATACATTAAATCACATACATTCTCACAGGTATTTATTATTTTTTTTATGAGGAAACCAATATTCTAAGTAAATTTTTAATTTGCGTAAAACATGACTGTTGACTTAGGATGTATCTGGAAATATTATGGTAAAATAAATATGATTGTTACATTTACTTAAGCCCTAGCATTCAATGTCAAATCGAATTGATCTACAGTTAACAAAAAATAAATGCCAAGAATAATACTCTTTCACTTAGTGAAGACAACATTAATCTCAACCTTAGACTGACAACCTAACCTGGCAGAAGATTTACAGAGACTAGAACCATAATTAACAACCATTAGTTTGTTAGACAAGGTCAACTTAATGACCTTCATTTTTAATCCTGAGAAAATTCCACCCCACAACAGAAGCAAAACTTGACATTTGGCTTTGACACGTAAGGTTTGACTGTATTGCTATGGATTTAAAGCTACCTTGATCGTAAAGCTCCCTTAAAAATTGAAATTTATACAGGGTCAACACTTAAAACTTGAAAATTAAATTTACGATTCGCTCATAGGTTTTCACTGTCATATTTGCATATTGTGTGGTGACAAATGATAAGGGTCAATGTCTTAGACCGGGGGGAGGGGGGAATTGCACAGTGGAATAGCAGACCTCTCCGGATATTCAAGTAATCACAAAAGCCACTTAATGATTGTGCGACTATGTCATCGCCATCGTGAGATTTCTTTGCCAAGATTGCCGGAGATGATCATAGTTTCATTGTGCAAATCTTAAGACACAAAGAATCGAGAATCAGATTTCTTCAACTGTCACTTTTTAAGTTTTGAAATCAGCCTACTATTATTATCAAAGTTTGTCCGTGAAATTCCCGGCTTATTCCAAGTTTGTGCACGATTGATTGGGAACCCTGCATGTGAAAAAATGTAACTTTCCTCAAAGATTTTCTCATTAATCCACTCTCAAACTAAACTAAGAAAAAGTGCCAGCATCATGATGTTTATTATATTTGCCCCCCCCCCCCCACTGAAATTTTCTCCGGCCAGCTAATTAAACTATATCCCTTTCCAATATAATTCTTTCTACAAAAATTGTATTTCACATTAAATGAATTATTAAATATTATTTTTGTGTTTGAAATGATGTTACATTTATAGAAAAGCAGATATTAACATTATATATCCATTCAGGTTGTGACAATAAGAAAAAGAAAATAGGTACACAACAGCACAGACTATTGTTATAACAGCAGCCTATGTTTCAAATAAACCAAAGACTACAGCTGTTGGGGCTCATTTAAATAACGCTAGCGCTTCTTGCTTTAGACGGAAACAATATTTATTGTAATGTTGCTTTAATTCTGTCATTGTTTACACACCACATTATAATGCGTTCTAACCGACAACCCTGGTATAAAAATTCTTATAAATACTCAAATGACGGTATAAGCTAGAAATATAATTATTTTCTAACAAAAATATTAGTAAATTAGGTAAACTGTATAAAAGATATTTTGCTGTGTCCTCAGTTTGAATATACAATGAGTGTCGATACAACTGATACTATGAACTACAACACATTAATCACTGTAAAGACGGAAAATATCCATGCAAATAGTGCCTGTTATATTTAATACATAAAAAAATTATGATAACATTTTGTGTAGACACACCATCATATAGGCACAAGGGGGAAAACAAATAATAAGGACAATAGAGAAATGGAACAAATTTAACAGAAAAACTAGGATTTGCAAAAATTCATAAATAACTGATATCAGTATGCAGGAGGTTGTTGAAAGCGAACATTGATACAAATATAGAAATCTGCTTATATAATAGGGTTGTGCGAGAAGGAGTTGGTTAGGCAGAATCGGTGGTTCAACCCACGAGGAACTGTTTAGCTGGCCACATATAGCATTCAAGAAAACATTGATTACAATAACATTTGGTTTAAAATTAATCCATGGGTTTTTAAAAGACAAATTGATTTTGTAAAAATTCTACCAAGGAACATTTAACAACTCGGGTTTATCTGTATAACAAACTAACTAATATGGTGCTTGATTTAACATTGAGATGTAACCTTTCTATCTACCACTTTAACTTAAAACCTCTTTCAACAGTTTATATTACTTTTGAGTTCGTTCTTGTAAAAAAAAAATACTGTAAAACCCCTTTCGAGCGCACAATTTTAGACAATAACTACTGATAGAAAATGCAAATCAATTGAAAAACAACTAAGCAGTGGCAACTGTCCACCGAGGCGTGAGTTGGCCCAACTTGGCCAATGATATTGTAAAGAGTAGCATGACGACACAGATCTTATAACTTGATTAAAATAATGTAAAAACTACTAACTTATTGTAGATCTCTTTGAACTGAAATAACCTTAAACAACCTCGCCCCCCCCTCTTCTTTTTAGGTAAATCGGGTTTAATTTATGAGTATATTTTGGTTGAGAGCTTTGTTACTTACATCCAGGATCATTTCTATTTAAAGACCACGATCAAGGGAAGGCGGGTCAAGTTTCAAGTCATAAGTTAACTAAACATTCTCGGGACAAAACCAATCGCCTAGTGATCATTAAATTAAAACAATCTCGCTCATCCCTATTATATAGGCCTACACACAGTATTCCAATGCATTATTATATTGCGTAAATGTATACACAAACAACAAATAAGCTACTGACAAAAAACTTTAAAACTGCAGAAACAATTGATCTCCTGAAGTCTTCCGCAAAGTAAGATGCCAATAATAACAAATCTTCATCAGTAACCGAACCAAGTATATGTGCATCACCTTACTCATTTACTATTTGGAAATGAAGCTTAAACATTTGGAAAATAATAAAAATACAAAGTACATTATTTTAACAACATTGTACATTAGAAACATGGAAGTATTTTAATTGGAAATCCAGACTTAAAGTGTAGCCAAAATCATTTAATGTGTTAACATTAACAATGCATGTAACACAGCTTTTAACTATTACAAGGCACAAGGCTAAAACTACTGTCATGGATGTAAACTTGATAAACTTTTAAAGCCTAATTTTTAACATAATAACATTTTCCCTAATTAAAAATTCTTTGACTGATACATCTGATTAGAATAAGAACAAATTAATTTTTAACATTTTATGATATTAGCATGTGTTCTTCTGTATTTAATTAACATTTTGCAACGATACACATTCTTCTGCTCAAGTCCTTCAGTACAAAAGTGTTATAGTTACATATGATTAAACAATACATTTTAAACAAAACAAAAAAACATAAATCGACCTCAAAACCTAGTTGACAAAACAAATTTCCTATAATTATAAAGTACTCAATCTTCACACAGTATTTACATAGATTATGAAGTTTATAGCTTTCTGAAATATCAATCTTGTACTGTACAGAGTTGTTACTGTAGGTGGAATTAATCGTGTTGGAATAACATTTTAGACAGGATATAGTAGTCAAAATCCTAAAATCATGTTAAACAATCCTGAGGGTTACAGTAGGCCTACTTTGAAAACATATTATGTACATTCACGGGAACGATTTATAGTTCTTGTCAAGAGAAATAATAATCTTAAAAAATAAACTCTTGTAAACTTCATAAATAAATACATTAGTAATCCCTGCTAAGCTTCAAATTGGTATGGAAATGATTAAATCCAAACCAATGCAGGAGATAAAATATGGTCTAGACCAAAAAAACAGGCCAAATGACCATAATTAAAGATGCATGGGGTTTCATACCCTTAGCAACATTTGGCTTTTCAACCGCAAGGGATGCACATATGCTTGGCTTGGTTATAATACAATAAATTTGATGATGAGCTTGGAAAATGATGCTCAGAACTTTGCTGCGTCAGTTGGTCATCAGGATAAACTGTGAAATAGAGAACAATGTGAATATGGTTTAGATTAATCCGAACCCTGAAAATATTTAAATTAGTGAAATCCATCAATACGAAGAAGCATAAGATCAGTATCGTGTTCCTCACTTATCTATCTAATCTGCAAACATTAAAACTCCTTACTGTATGAGTTTTCTTCTTCTTGCTGTCTCAAAACGCCAAAAATAAGTTTATCTTCAGTTAAAGTTACGTGTATTTTCTGTATTTTTTATTTGATTTTAACCGAACTATTGTAATTTGGATAGCCTACAAAGTGTTTGCAAATAACTCCAAACTAAAAAAACCTTACCTATCACAGCAAACATGCAGCCTAACCAGATTTCAAGAAATTCATATTTAGATACACGTCCGTTTTTGCTAACGTCTAGGTATTTTCATACTTAAGATAATTTATTTACAAACACTCTGTAATGTACTGTACGAGAAAGAGATTACTCATATAAAATCAAGGCTGTACTTTTCTGAAGTAGTTTTTACTTGGCTTTTCATTACAATGTGTCACTTCGGAGGACATGCATGATGGAAGTTTCTATACCTGATACCAACATACGTAAAGCCTAATAAAAAAATATGAAGACTGAATTTATAAGTTGACTTATCACGATTGATTAACTCGACACTGTATAGGCACGTTATTGGTTGACTAATTAACTTACAATACAGTACCTGAACTTTCTTGTACATTCTACATAACCTACCTTTCTCCGCAAGCTGCACTAGGAACAGACGTTTGTGCTCCTTAGGCTTGGTGATATGTGGAGGGACGTAAGGGTACTGCGGAGGTTCAAAGTTTGGTCTCCACCAGTTGCCTATCGTGTCCTCCACAGTCCAATCTTGTTTCACACCATCTTGCCTTCCCAAAGTCTACAACAAAGAAGACATATTTTGATTACGAGTAAATAACAACATCAAAAAACATGTTCATGTTGCTGAGTGTTATTTTGCTAGGAGGGAGTTTACATTATGCCAATGAAATCAGCAGAGATTCGTTGATAGACAGCTTTTACATTATGAGGTGATCAAACAACATGATGCTTAAAAAAAGCAAAGATACACAATAAAACATAATAGATGAAGCAAGAAATAAAGCTTTGATTTTTTTTTTAGTTTGTAACACCTATTATTTTATTAAATAGGCTTATCCAAACATTACCACTTTTGTCCAACTATTTAGATAGGACTTATTACACAGAGTGAAAACATAAATTTACAAACTTTACCTCTGTTAGAAGTCTCTTTAAACCTTCAACTTCATCTTCTCCAGGGTTAAGTTCACCTCCAGGGCTGTAAAAACAAAAAAAAGACGTTAAATTAATGGCAATATATTGGTCAACATCTATTTTAATATACTTACTATTTTTTTTCTTTAGGAAAAAAATTTTCTGTTAAAATTTAAATTATTGCTTGGTTGTCTCACTCTATGTTTACATAAAGATTGACATTCATAAGATTTTGATTTCTTTGATAAAATATTTATTCTTTGGTAAGACTTTGATTGATAACTGTTAACAAAAAGTGATAAAAAAAGACCAGACAGAAGTATAAAAACATACCACAAAAAAGAAAACTGAGTTATAGATAAAAGTTTAACAACTCATGATAGCTTCGAGTTGAATTTTAATGAATCTTTTTGCAGTATATGTACAATGAATTTACTGTCAATTTGATAACAGGGTTGGCATTATCAAATTAATTCCAAATTTTTACAGAAAACAATTAATTCAGTGTCTACAGTTAGGATCAATTACACTCCTAGGCTAGTTAATTAGTAACATAGTGGTCGTCTCTTGACATTGACAATAAGTAGGCTTAATTCTTGCTATTACATTAAAATCGTGATGATTTCCTGCGATTGCGGCAACCTCATGTTAGTTCCACGCTATTGTGAAGGAGTAGAGAACGAACTGAACGTCTATATAACAGATGGAGGCTCTGCTATAGGCTATCACCTATAATTACAATTAAATAATGCCTCCTCAACTAACACCGCACCGTAATCCAGCCAAAGAACCATTCTGCCAAGAAACCTATACCGGTAGGTACCCTGTTGGCACCAAGTAATGACTACTGACACATGACTATACTACGGAGAAAAAATGGAGAAAAGCTTGTCAAACTAATCGCAAGGAGTTTGCAGGATTAACTTACAGTTTAAAGAATGTCGTCCCCAACTGCAGAAGCAAGACATGTGGTAGACCATGTTCATGGACCAGAAGAACACCTTCTACACTTCGTCTCATGCCAATCTTCTCAAACTCTTCTCGCATCCTTTGGAAACGAGCGGGGACGGATGGATCTTTCTCAAATAATGGTTCCTTGGTTCCAAATGTGTAATTTGTTAGTGGATACCTAAAAAAAACCCTTGTATAAAACCAAGATTGGTACCTGTATAGTTTTTCCCTAGGACACTAGGAACGAGTCTAGGATTGTAGGTATTTCACATTTACTTTAGGCTAGACCTATGGGTTGCGCAATATCACTTGGATAAAATCTAATGGTGATTTGGCGGGATTTGAACCCGGGACCTCAGAGACCAAAGTCCCGTGCTCAACCACTAGATCAGCTCGCTCCCCAAAAATAGTTTAGTGTAGCCTATTAGGAAATACAAATCCGGTATTAGGCAGTTTCAAAGTACTAGTGGCTTGTAGGGACATAGGTCCCTAAAAAGTTTAAATGTACAACAACTTTTTGCAATACCGGTATTTAAACAAACTCAGAATAACATTATTTATGTGTCAGAATAGGCATCCCTACACCATATCTTTTGTGTAATAACCAGTTTGTTGTTCTTCTTTGTTTGCTTTTGTTGATGTCATTTTCAATAAATAATTTGAATCACTCCAGTGGTTTAACATGAAAAGGCAGCAAACATATCATTGTTTGTGAATAAATACTGGTTTACTAAGGTAGCTTTGGTCTTGTGGTTAATGAGGATAAATAAAAGCTTCCCTGTTTGGAATTTTAAAAATTCATTAATTACAGTACTTATAATGAATAGAATATATATCCAGCAGCCTACATACCAAAACATCTTGAATCCCTGGTGATTTTATAAAAGTATGATCGAATATGATTACTCTACGTTGTATATTCACTGCACTAAAAAAATTTACTTACGAAGGAATGCAAATACACCATTTTAGAACCAATAACATTTATAGGTTATTTTAGTTGTATATACAGGGAGCGGCAGAAATATCTGACGGTTTTCAAGCGAGTACAGTCCGGCAGCCGAGTGGAGGGGGGTGGTGGGGAGCGGCTCATTCTCAAGGCCAAGTGTGACCATTTTAGTCGCCATGGAGCAGTGGACCAGTATACATCGCGCGTTTGCCGTTGAGGCGTTTTTTAAAAATGGCGATTCTGTTGTTGGTACGCAACGTAAGTTTCGGAGGCATTTTAATGTGGCTCGTGGGGAACCTATCCCATCCCGAAACACCATCAAATTGTGGGTGGATACCTTTAGATCACAGGAACAACTGCAAAACGTAGGCCTACCAAGGCCAGTGAGGACGCCTGAGAACGTGGAGCGAGTGCGACAAGCTGTGCTAACGAGCCCGCATCGCCCGGAGCGTAGACAAGCTGCTGCTCTTGGCATGTCTGATCGCTATATTCGACGAATTTTGCACTCAGGCCTTCACTTTCACCCGACAGCGATCAGACATGCCAAAAGCAGCAGCTTGTCTACGCTCCGGGCGATGCGGGCTCGTTAGCACAGCTTGTCGCCCTCGCTCCACGTTCTCAGGCGTCCTCACTGGCCTTGGACGGCCTGTAGGCCTACGTTTTGCAGTTGATCCTGTGATCTAAAGGTATCCACCCACAATTTGATGGTGTTTCGGGATGGGATAGGTTCCCCACGAGCCACATTAAAATGCCTCCGAAACTTACGTTGCGTACCAACAACAGAATCGCCATTTTTAAAAAACGCCTCAACGGCAAACGCGCGATGTATACTGGTCCACTGCTCCATGGCGACTAAAATTGTCACACTTGGCCTTGAGAATGAGCCGCTCCCCACCACCTATGTCGTTTATTCCTTTAACACGACAATAACGTAAAAGCATGAAAAATGAAACTTGAGTATATGATTTAAATATAAACAAAGAATGCAGACGTTTTTCCGACTAATCTTCAATATTTCAGTTTTATTATAGTATACATTTCATAGTTGACTGGCTAAAAGTAAACCAAATGCATGTATTGATCACTGTTTTCAAATCTGTGGCACAGCTGTTTTAATTTCAAAAGATGTAAACAAATTAAACCCCATGTTGTTTTAATGGGAAAAGTTTTATTCTGTTGCGAATTTATGGTAAAAAAATAAGAAAAATGAATAGTTTTCCCTCAAAATTCATGTCAAGACCTTTAAAATAAGACCCCTCCCATCCTTCTACGGCCATCCAGTCACTCAGAATTTCTTTACAAAAATTTGACTTGCGGAATTATATATATAGATATACATTTCATAGTTGACTGGCTAAAAGTAAACCAAATGTGTGTATTGATCACTGTTTTCAAATCTGTGGCACAGCTGTTTTAATTTCAAAAGATGTAAACAAATTAAACCCCATGTTGTTTTAATGGGAAAAGTTTTATTCTGTTGCGAATTTATGGTAAAAAAATAAGAAAAATGAATAGTTTTCCCTCAAAATTCATGTCAAGACCTTTAAAATAAGACCCCTCCCATCCTTCTACGGCCATCCAGTCACTCACAATTTCTTTAAAAAAATTTGACTTACGGAATTATCCTATATAGTTTTGGTATTGGTTGAAAAAAAACACAATTTTTGGTAAGTTACCTAATATTTTATTATTATTGACTTCAAACGCTGAAAATTAATTCAGGAAATATTAGCAATCATTTTAATAAGAACAAATGAGGCTTACTACATAGGTACCTATAAAAATATTTTACAGATTAATTCATAACCTGACCTTAAGGTAAATTGCCAAATACCTTGACTCACCCAAATACTGTGAATGTATTTTCTCGCCAATAACAAAAAATATTGTTGGTCAAAGACGTTTAATCTTTATATAAGAAGTAAATTCAACTTTTGGAGTTTATTTTAAATGTCTTTGATGGCTGCTGGTGCCATGTCGTCTGGTTCATTTATCAGTTTGAATGTTGACGTTTCTTGAAACAGTTGTTTTCCTTAAGGTTCTTAGTGATTCAAACAAGGAAAGAGGTGAGTGGAATAAGCTTTGGTTTAGTATATTTTTATATTACATTAATTATCTATAATATTAAAACGTAACAGGGTTTTTTTATTTCACGATTCTGAATCAACCACTCGACGGATTTTAATGATTTTTGTGTTGGAAAAAAGATAATTTTTAAATTTAAATTCATTGTTAAGCCCCTGAGCTGTAGATATTATTGTAAGACTAGATTACTTATGTCAATAGCTCATTGAATCGTGAATTTCACTTCATGTTTCAGTACATGTTTCGACACATTGTCATCATCAGCTGAGTACTAACTAGTGAAGTTTTTATTCACCATATGGCTTCGTCATTGTTCAATTAAATAAACACGTAACACGTATTCATTTTTGCATTTGGCGTTTTGTAATTCAGCAAGTTTTTTGTTTTATTCTTCGTGTTGATAAACAAATAGTCCGTCTGTCCCACCTGTCCCCGACCCGCGGCGTGACCGTGTGTTTTGTTCGAACAGGCCTGCATGTCTTAATGACGAAGCCATATGGTGAATAAAAACTTCACTAGTTAGTACTCAGCTGATGATGACAATGTGTCGAAACATGTAGGTACTGAAACATTAAGTGAAATTCACGATTATATTTAGTTGTCAATTCATTATTGGAAACTTCGTACTTCTTTATTTGTTTTTGCAGTCTGCTGTTTTCCACAATATATTTACGGTTAGAGTCCTGTAAACGTTCATAGTCGTTGTGGAGCTTGTCATAGCTTTCTTGAATTAACTTAGTAGCACAACAGGATTCCCGAGCTTTGGTTAAGCTCTTGTTTGGATCCAGTATTTTAGTTTCCAAAGCAGCTTTTTCAGTAACAAGGTCGTCTTGAAATTTTAGAGCATTTTCAATCTCAACACGGTGAGAGCACCTTTCCCTTGACAGTTTGGAGTCAGCCAAATCGAGATCCTCTTTTATGTTGCCCAACTGTCCCTCCAGATCATCCAACTTGCCACATATGGTATCAAATTTCGTCACAATTTGAGCTGCACTGTTAACTAGATCATGGCTTTCATCAGGGAAGCAATTTACCATCTTAGATAAATGGAAACAAAAACTTGATATCAGAATCTCATTATCATCCTTTAAATTGGTTTTTTCAAATAAAAGTTCCTCAAAATGCTCCATTCTTTAATGATAACTAATAACTAAGATGATTGACTGTTTGTATATTCTTGTAATAATATTAATAACATAAATAAAATAAATCTCTTGGTGTTTTTTTTTTTTATAAAATTTAAAATTTTGTTCAATATTTACATTTTATATTTTTAGAGAAAGATTAAATTTGCTGAATGTAAACAACAATCAGTTTGAATGACAGAAAGGCAACAATGGTTGTGAGTGGTTAAAGATCTGCCACAAAGTCCAGATGAAGTTGACCCTCCTTATCTTATCTGATAAGAGACCACATCCTATCTTGTCCCTTGCTGATTTTTCAGGTAAATTTATACATTAATCTCACCTTTTGGGTTTAACACTTCGTCCTTTCGAAATAATAATCACCTGCATTTATTTGACACTTTAAATATAAACGATTATTGATAAAAAAAATTCTTAAAAGATCACTATTTACTATTAAAAATCTTAAAAAACCAAGGAGCACATCTAGCACTTGACTTATACATGAGGGACTTCCCCCTCTTCCCTGTAAACCTGAACAAACAAATACAACCTGAAACCATCATTTTGTTGAGAAAGTTGTACACATTATATTGGTGAGAAACATTTGTTCCAAAAGTCGTAACTTTATTTATTATAAGGCAAATTCAAGAGAACCGTCCTTAAAGTCACGGTATTTGGGCAGTTTACCTTAACTGTTGGGTATTTGTTATGTTTACCTTATGAAAATGAATCCTTAGAAATTCATCTTTCTAATGATAGGTATAATATTCGTTGCAGTTTAAAACTGTTTTCATATTTTAATATTAAGTCCTGGACCATGTCGTTCTGGTCCATAGGCTAAATGGACCATGCCACTGAGAACTTAATATTTTGTGGTCCAAAAACACCCAATGCCAGATATAGGGTTAAGATAAAGAGACAACTTTATAAGTTAGCTTAAATGGTTTTATTTAACTTACATCGAAGGCCTACTGAAAGTGAAATTAAAGTCAAGGCAATATATATAAGCCAATCGAACCAATCACCATCATCGATATACTTAGGTCCAAGCTAGGCTATATTTAACTTATGCCTAGGCCTATAACTTAACGCAGGTTCTCTGTGAAACTGTAAGTTAGGCTACTCATTGTCTAAACATAACTTAGATAGATCAAAAGAAAGTAGGTAAACAAAAGAAACGTCTTATAAGTTAACACTTAAAACACATATTTACTTAAATCTTATTCCATTAGAAAGATGAGATTCTGAGGATTCATTTTCATGCATAAAACATTATTGAGTGAGTATTATGTAGCGATAAACGGTAGTTTGAAAAACTAGAGAGTTCAAAATAGATTTTGGCGGTGGAAGGTTTTGGTCACCTGACTACAAAAACAGCTGTTTTTGGTGATTGTCAATTAAATTGTATACAATATTAGTACATATTCTGAAACTACAATAAATACCCTACAATTCCCTGTGAATCTATAAGGTTGATTGTAAAAATTTTATTTCTTTTTAAAAATGTCATAAATATTATGTTTTTGTAAAAAAATCTTCAAAATTTTACATTCCGACGTAAATTTCTCCAACATTTTAGAATTTAACTAAATATAACTATATATTTTCAGAAAGATCTTTTTATTACCTATTGTACAGTATCATTTCATTTTTTGTTGATGAAAATTCTATTATTTCCTACGTGACAAAAAGAAATTTGGTAGTTTTTCAAAAAAGAAAATATGTAGGCCTATGAAGAATTTATTTTTTTCTTAATTTTATTTTTATGAGTATTTAAAAAACATTGATATTTCTACGTAGGGAATCATATTTCACACAAACTTTACATTTAGATAAAATGTGTAAAAAAATTATTTTTTGGTTTTCTTGTGGGTCGCTTTTGAAATTTCTAATTTGCATAATCCAAAAATTTGCAAACCTTTTGCTACTACGCCTAAACGCATTGCTAGGAAAAGAATATTTTTATATTATTATATTCTAAATTCATCACTGAAATATATATATGTGTGTACTTATATTCACAAATAGGCCTAAATGTTCCGTGGCAAAATATATGATACCACTACAAAAGCGCCAAAATATACCCGCCACTTGGGAATAAAATGACCGCCAGATCTAGGGTTAACTTTACCTAACTAACCAAATGATATATCGAATTAAACAATTGATTAATCAATATATGAGTACAGTTTCTTAACTGGGCTACGCTAATACTGATTGAAACTATCGAGTTGAAAATATTGATTAATAATCGATATTAGGCTATTATAAAATCAAACTAGCCTATCATAACCTGACCTAATCAACCAAACTTGCTGATGGTGAAAAAATCGCATGAAATTTTACCAATCGAATCAATAGTTTCAATCAATATTAGTGTAGCCCAGTTAACCCTCCCAGTGTTACTTGACGAAAATTCGGCAAGCACCACACTTTGTATAGTGTTACTTGCCGATTTTTCGACAAGCAGACATCGTTTACGGCGAAGGCTCTATAACTGACTGAATCGGATTGAACTGGATCGAGTTAGGTATCGTTCTTTCCGTTACATTCTAAGCTGTCTCCAGATGTCTGTCTCTAAGCGCTATTCATTTTAGTTCTGAAAATATTGTAGCAGACAGCTGACGTGCGTGTATTTGTAAACAGCTAGGTTCCCCCGGACCGATGACTGATGTGTTTTATTACGTTTATCATTGTTTTAGTGTTAAAAATCAAAAGTAGTGATATACGTGGTGCATTATAAGAAGATTTAAGTGGTTTTGAAGTGCTGGTTGATGATCCTGAAGAAGTAGGTAGTGATATTGATGTAAATTATCAGCCAGATTCCTAGCTATGGTTAGGCTATGCATTCTTATATATTCTTATATTCTTAATATATTTGTAATCCTCATAAAATTTAGAACAAAGTGGCTATTTTCAAATATTTATAGGCCTATAATTTATACAATTTCATTAGGCGCGAACTTATTTTTTTTTTGAAAATTTTCGAAATTATATTTTTTTTACCTAAAAAATTTTTTTTTTGAAAAATTTTCCTTATGTTTTATATATATAATATTGAAGCCCATGATTTTCCAAACAAAATGGTATATAGAACATTAGAATTAACATTGTTTTAAGCTTCTCAGATCCGTTTTAATAAAACCTTGCAAATGCGCCAAAAATAGGTGGACATTAAGGCCTAAACTATGGACACTTGGAGGGTTAAGAAACTGTACCCCAATATATCGATCGATATTTTCATTCGAATGAGTGTAGGACCTAAAGTAAAATGCGGCAATTTTACGGTAAGTGTAATATAGGCCTAAGAATTTTACGGTAGGTGTTGTATAGGCCTAAGACGTTTCTTTTATTTACTTTACATAAATTTAATAACACGTACAATGCTGATCAAGAAGTTATTTAGATCAAGAGGCCCCTTGTGACGTAGTTCCAATGTTATCAGCTGACTTATAATGTCATAAACATTTATTGTATAAACGGCCCATCACGGTTATCTAATCTACCCCTATGTATCGACTTGGGACTTATATTTACGGGTTTAAATATTTTAGGTTTTATTTAATTTTAACGTTTGTAAAGTGAAAGATTTTTGAGGTATTTAGCTTAATACCAAGTTAAATACACAACTGAACAAACTACTTAAGCTAGGACTAGGCTGTGACAAACATAGACTAGGCTAGGCCACGAACTAAAAAATAGCCTAGCCTAATATCAGAAACTTTAAATAAAGGTCAGGACCTAATTTGACTATAAATAACATGGCATATAAGCTGACGGTTAAATGTGTAAGCATACTTACAAATTGATGGGTCTGTTTATTGTTAAGACCGGTGAGGGAAACTTTGCATCGTTGAATTGAGTCGGAGTCTGAGCTGCAGGTCCTCCACCACCACGGCGAGGCCAGCCGTGACCACCAGCAGGCCCGGATAAATTAGAAGGTTTAATTTGAGTAGAGGTCATAATAATTTGATGGAATACTTGAATTAATAGTTACAACTTTAGGTTTAACAAACAAAATATAATTCTACCCGATGCGTCTTCGACTACAACACTCAACACGATTTCAAAATGGCAGCCGGCAAAGGTAAAGCAATTAAGCAAACAAAAGCAACAAAGTAACAAAGCAAAGCAACTAAGCAAGCCAAGCAGCAAGCACTGAGCATTGAGCATTGATTGAGCGTGCTATACACTTCTCTGTATAGGTGTATAGTCAATGATTTTATTCTCATTCGGACATTCGGACCATTTCGGATATTCGGATGGTAGTTTTGCTCCAAATCGTCTTTCGTTCTCTTTGTTCTATGTTCTTTCTTAATAAAAATAGTGACCAGTACTGACCAGGGTTGTTATTATTGTTTGAAATATATCGTACACTGTTAACAGTATCATGACAGTATTTTGTAAAATTTACATTTAATAAACTATTTTCTACTCAATGATGTAATTTTTAAAATTAATTATATTTTTACTTTTACAAAAAATGTGTCATTTTTTATGTTAGCCTCCGCATTACGTTGAATATATAAATTGGTTTAAATACCTGCTTCCATGTAATCCAAGTTGCAAGGTCACGCAACTAGTTTCAACTACATGAAGAAGTCATCATCAGGCGTTCAGTGGATGTCTAAATAAGTCAATGAGTCATTTATTTAACCAAAATAACATATACATACATTGTAAACTTAACACACACTTTTTAAAAAAGTTCTATATTTCGGCATTAGCCTTCTTCAGGAACAAACAATAAACAATAACAAATAGAAGTGTTTACCACAAAACGTCCAGTTAACTCCAAACCTAGTGCCAACTTTATTATAAACTTAATTCATTTTGTTTTAACCATGAACAATTTTAAATTCCTTGATCAAAATTACCTTCAAGTGAAAGGGACAGCTATGGGCACACGTATGGCACCTTCTTTTGCAAATTTATTTGTTGGGCATGTTGAAGAACTTTTTTCTAAATTCACAAATGTTGAAACCTTCAATTTGGTATAGGTTTATTGATGACATTTTCATGGTTTGGGAATATGGACTAGAAAACCTGCAAACTTTCCTTGAAAATCTAAATCAATTCTCACTCAATCCTTAAATTTACCTGGAACTTCTCAGAAGATATTGTTACTTTTTTGGATGTTGAAGTTTTTTTTTTAGAGATGGTATGTTAAAATCCAAAATCCATGTAAAAGATACGAATACAATGGATTACTTAGCTTACTCAAGCTGTCATCCTGTAGGTACATATTAAAAAATCCATACCAAAAAGCCTATCAATACGTGCAAAAAACCTTTGTTCTGAAAATCGTGATTACCAAAATTATATTGAAAAACTCAGCAATGATCACTTAACAGAAGAGGTTATCCTAAAAATTTAATAGACAGTCGAATAAAAAGTTCAAAAAATCCTAACACAGATAATTTTAAAAATGATCCAAAATTCATCACCCAATATTTTCCTGGCCTTTACAAAGTTAATAATGTTTTAAGAGTGGCACATAATATTCTTTCAAATTCACCTCTGACCCATAATTTGTTTTCCAAACCCCCAAGACTAATATACAAAAAAGCTCCTAACTTGAAAGACATTCTTTCAAAACCCAAACTACCTCCCACTTCCCAACCATCAGCAAAACCTTCGGGCTGTAATCAAATGCAACAAACCACGATGTGCCACTTGCAAATTAATCATCCAATCAAAAACTTTCACAAGCAGGCAAACTAAAAGATGTTATAACATAAATAGTAACATCACCAGTGAGTCTACTAATGTAATTTACCAAATGTCCTGCAAAAATTGTCCTAAAGACTACATTGGCAAAACCACAAATGTTCTTAGAGTTCGTATGAATGGCCACAGATATGATGTAAACCATCCTGATAAACAAAAACCTGTGGCTATTCATGCAAGAGAGCATTCTCAAAATTTTCAACAATGTTATTCATTAAAATGAGTAAGAAAATTGGCAAAAGACGCACCAGACTTAAAATTAAGACAGCTTGAGCAATTATTATTCTAGAGGTTAAATACCTTATAATCCTTGCCACTGTAATCCCCTGTCGTCTGGATGGCGACCGATTTCGACACTCATGGTGTCATTGTCAAGCCGTAAAGACGTGTTGTCACTCCTAGGAGGTCGTCAAGTCTTGAAAATATATACACGAGACACGCACAAACATATTTACAAATAAATAATATAGTATGGCCATACAAGAACAGCTTGAGCAAGCTCATTAATTAATACTTAAATCTAAAACACCTTCCGGTCTAAATTTGAGATAGTATATAAAACATATTTTCTTTCTTTCTTTCTATCAACATTTTCTTTTTTACTTCTTCATAAATTATATGTATTTTGGATTTTTGCTAAAACCATCTGATTCAGAGTGGTAAACGCTTCTATTTTTTATTGTTTGTTTGTTCCTGAAGAAGGCTAATGCCGAAATATAGAACTTGTTTAAAAAGTGTGTGTTAAGTTTATTTTGGAAAATGATTTAGCCGTTTGGCAATATTATGATGAAACAATATACATGCATTGGCCATGTCATTTAACAAAACATACAGTTTCTTGACTTCAATAAGAAATAATAACTTTTTTTTAACTTACTAAGGATACCTATGATCAAACAAGTTTGATGGTTTTTTAGCCGTCAGCCAGGAACTTACGGACGCTGTAATAAGCTTTTTTTTAAGAAAAGATTTTAGGGTTTTTTTAAATCGCTTTACCTTTACCTTTACCTAGATCCTCTTCACCACAGTCATTGAGACCAGGGAATCGTAATTCTTCTTTTGTTTGTGTATATGTGTTGTGTATGTGAGCAGTTTAATAGTTTAGTCTATTGTAGATGCTGTGATCTACGTAAAATTCATTTAGGTCGTAGTATGGTTTGTTTGGCAAATATTGCTTTAGTTTTTTCAAGAAAGTTTTGTCATTGTGGATTAGTTTTAAATTCTCTGGTAACATATTTAATAACTTTGATCCTATTATTTGAGGATTTTTACTAGTTTTGGCAAGTCTGTGCTGCTGAACATTATAGTTAACTTTCGAGTTTCTCAGATTATAAGTTTGTGGCAATCATTTCTGACTTTTGGGGGGTTGAGTTTCAAAAATTTAAAGGTTTCCAGGATGTAGAGGGATGGTATGGTAAGGATTTCATTGGATATGAAGAATGGTTTGCAATGTTCATCATATTGAAGCTGTTCTATTGTTCTTATGACCCTCTATTGTATTGTAAGCAGTTTTTGTATGAGATAGTCTACAGCAGAACCTCATATGATGCCGAATCTTAAATGGCTTTCAAATAATGCAAAATATGCAATTTTTGCAGTTTTTTGTCTGTTATATCGCATATTCTTCTTATAGCGAATGTTGCTGACAACAGCTTATTTTCTAGATGTTCAATATGCTTTTGCCAGGATAAGTTTTCATCCAAAATGACTCCTAAGAATTTTGTTTCTGATACAGTTGTGATTGATGTTGAGCTTGTAGTCTGAGGGTTAGTCTGTTTTTTAGCGAATTTCCCATATAGGGAATAAGCTATTACCGTAGTACTCATAGTAAGACCTGGACACGGGACCGATTTTTTTTTTCGTTTTGAGGTCCCTAGAGGCCAAAAACACCATCCGTTCAAATTCATATATATATATATATATTTATATATATATATATATATGTGTGTGTGTCCGTTAGCGCGATAACTCGAGCAAAAATGATCCGATTTTGATGAAATTTGGTACAAACGTGTAAACCTACGTTTATTCAAACGAGTTCGCGAACCAGCATGATCGGACCATGGGAACGGGGGTTTATGGGGGCTTTTATGGGGTAAAAATGGGTTTTTCCAATTTTTGACCCAAAAAACATAAAATTTTGTAATTTCTTTCCAAACTATTTTGTAGAGCTTAAAAAAACAAATAATTTAGTATATTGAAGCGTTATAATGCGCCTAATAGTTACGGAGAAATTGTTAATTTAAAATTCCCATATTATTCTTATGGAGAATAAATAAACTGTTGTAGTTTGCTTGTTTATTAACATATTTCGCCCAAATTTGGAAAATGTTTTAATTTATTACTAACTATTAACATTTTACATAAAAAAAACACTTTTACCCTCCCTGTTGCAGCAAACCTAAGTATGTGTTAAACTGATTCTATTTAAATAGGGAATAAATTTGATATTTTTAAGGAGACATTTTAGTGTAAATCCAATCAGGCAAATGGAAATTCGCTTAGTCTGCAGGTTTGCTGCGGCGGGGGTATTTTTTGTTGAGAAGTTTATATTCACTGTTTTAGTTTTATTTATCTTGAGGTTCAGTGAGGAACTTACTTCTGAAGCTGGTTGTAATGTTTCTTCTGTTTCACTATTAGGTATTGTAGATACTGGGTAGAGAATAGTCGTATCATCCGCAAACATTATGCAAGTTTTATCTGTTGACATGTAGTCTGGGAAGTTGTTGATGTAGATGATAAAATACAAAGGTCCCAGGACAGAGCCCTGTGGGATTCCTCGTTCGGTGAGTTTTGTAAATGATTTGGTTTTTGTTTCGATGTTGTTTTTATAGTGAATTACTTCAACTTGTTGATTTCGGTCTGCAAAATAGTCCTTGATCCAGTTTAGGGCTTTTCCTGTAATATTTAATTGCTCTAGCTTATATTAGTATATTTCGGTCCAAACTGTCAAAAGCTTTTTGCAAATCTAAAAAATTGCAGAGGCATTTTGTTTGTCTTCCCAGAAGGAGGTGATTGTTTCGCAAAGTTTGTTGAGGGCGGTGTTTAAGGACTTATTCTTCCTGAAGCCGTGTTGTTGTTGTGAGAGTATTTCTAGTTTATTTAAATGTTCCATAATTTGAATGTAGTCTAACCTTCTCAAGATATTTGGATAGTGTTGGTAATACTGATATGGGTCTGTAGTTTTCCATATGAGTGTTGTCCCCTTTTTGTGTTTAGGGTAGACTGTAGCTAATTTAATTTAATTCTGTTCGGTACTATTGCTTGGTCTATTGAAGAGTTGATGATGTGGAGTAGAGGAAAAGCAATTTCTTGTTGACAATGTTTAATGACTTTATTTGAGATTTCATCGAATCCAGAGGATGTTTTTTGTGGTAGTTGAGAAAATGTTTGTTTTAGTTCATCCATTGTTACTGGTTTGAAGGTTGATAACTCGTAGTTTCCTGTGTTGCTGTTTGTTGCCGGTTGTTTGAGAGTTGGTTCGTTTTGGGTTTCCAAAGTATTTTTTCCCTGAGAGATAAAGTAGTTATTGAGGGTGTTGCTAATCAAACCTTGATCGTCTGAGAGACTATTATCTATTTGTAAAGAGAGTGTTCTATCATTTTCATCAGGTTTGCTTGTCGTTTCTCTATTTATTACATTCCATATTTCCTTAATTTGGTTGCCAGAGTTTTTTATTCGATTTGTTGTAGTATGATTTGATTTTTTCTTTTTTAATTCACTATCGTAAATTTATTTTAAGTTGGTGTATGTGGTTTTATCTTTGTCTAGTCCGGTTAAATTATATTTATTTTGAGCTATGTTTAGGCTATCTTTAAGTTTTTTTTAGGTTTTCAGCCCAGAATCGGTTTGGGCATTTTGTTTTAACACTCCTCAAAGTTTTAGGCATTATTTCATCCATGTTCATTCTGATTGTCTGGATAAAAACGTTATATTTGTTTTCGACAGAGTGGGTGTTAAATACGTCTTCCCATCAGGTTTCCTCTCCTAGCTTTTGTTTGAGCAATTCAAGGTTTTGTGTGGTTATAGGCCTGAATGAGCATTCTTTTTAGAGCCCCAGTTTTGGATTAAGAATGATAGAAGGTATTTTGATGAGTTTTAGCCATTATAAAGTTTGGTTCTATGTTGGTTGCACAAATATATATGCGGTTTTGTGAAGTTGGGGTTATTCTTGAATAGGCGGTTTTTATCACATTTATTTTGTGTGATTTTAGAAGATTTTAAAGTTGTACTACTACTTCACTATCATTTTTGTTTTGAAGTTTACATCACCTAGGATGATTATGTGTTTCCTTTTACTTTAAAAACGTTGTAAAAAGCTGTCAGTAATTAAAAAAAAGTCTAGACATCAACTTTTTGAAATAAATAAATGTCATTGATATGATATAGCTATCCTGTTTACTGCTGTTGATGTTGTGTTGGCTAACCTGCTATTGAGCCGAATGTGCTCAGGCTCAGAGCTCATAAAATTCAAAGTCGAAAACTGCTGCCAAAAAAGGCATTATCAAACAGCTGGTTGGTTAGTAGTATCTTATTTCTTAAGCTAACTAAATTTTCATTTTCTTAATTTCATTGTCATTCATTAAGCTGCTGCATTGTTTCTACATACTGCTCTACTACTGCTAACTGCTACGTAAGTTTCGTTTACTACCATGGTGGTTGGTTAACACTGGAATGTGCTCTGCTCGTTGACTGGAACTGACAAGACAAGACAACCACGTTACGTTACGTTCCTCGCGAGAAACCGTGTGTTCATACGTTACAACGTTTGACAGCTAGCAGAGGGATATTCCTGTAATTTGAATTTAGAATTGGTAAATAAACACCTCTGTACAATCCAAATAAGTGTAAATTGTATCATAGGCTATATTTATCTATAACTAAGTAGGCTATTTCCGAGATGTCTATTTAATTTTGTGCTGGGCTTTAACTTATAGGTTAGAACCTTAAGCCAACGCCTAGGGCCTACCCCAATAATAATAATATAACAATCGGTAATTGCGATGTAGTCGGATATCAAAGTTTTTGGCCATTACGGTATTTTTTTTCGATTAAGTTTCAGTAAGATATTTTAGTAAGAATAACCATACCCATGGTAATTTTTTGGCATAGAGCTAATAAAAACCAACATATCTAAGCCTATTCATATAAAATGTTGCAACTTAAATTTCAGTCTCCGTCATTAATCAATCATCGAGATAAGGGCGCCACCTAGGTGCGTATTTTTACCCAAATATTTGTGAGAATGGTGTGAGATGATCTGTAGCGATACTACCTATGATCCTAGCAATGTAGATAATACCAATGTGCTTTCTTAATAAGCCTGTTTGTGTCGGAGCTGCCCTGTTAATCGCTCTCGGGTTCCGACCATCGACGAGAGCAGCTATAATATCTCAGTCCTTTTTTTCAGCTAGTATTGAAGTTCCCAACATAAATTTAGATACCTAATTTAATATTGCAAGTTTTTGTAAGAAAAGCATTAACACAAGCGAGATAAAAATCACCACAATATTTGTTTAAGACAAGTTGTGGAGTAAAATGCTTGAACAAATGCTAAAAAGAATTGAACACAATATTGATAGGATTGATAGGATGCTTATGCATAATAGCCTACTCCTTATATTTTACTTGGTTTTGAATATACTTTACTGTATTTGATGATAAAATTGATTATTCTTCTTCAGAGTCATTCATTACAAACTCACTATCAACAAAATACAAACTCATGAATCACTTTTCAGTGAGTGTCGTGGCTTAGACATGAGCAGCTGATAAAAGCAGAGCGCTACTCTCTATAGCATCGCTGCTCTCATCGTTGCTACGACCGTTTATCACAGCTTTGACATGGACTGAGATAAACTATTTTATTAGCCAGTTATTTTAAGCCCAATGACTAGGAAGCTGGGTCCAGTTTGAAACCATCAAAAGGCCCTATCAAACATTTCGTCAGTTAGCACGATTTAAGATAACTTGTGACACATTTTATAGATTAGATTTGTACAATGCCAATACACCTGGATGCGTAAAATTTAAAATAGGTACATATATTGTAGGCTTCATCTAAATTGACGAAAAAGGAGGGACTATAATAGCACATCAGTCTTTTTTAGGCTACCTAATTATTTTATTGTAAGACTAGATTACTTACGTCAATAGCTCATTGAATTTCATTTCATGTTTCAGTACATGTTTCGACACATTGTCATCCTCAGCTGAGTACTAGTGAAGTTTTTATTCACCATATGGTTTCGTCAATGTTCAATTAAATAAACACATAACACAAATACGACACGACACGGAACATATACATTTAAAACACGTAAAGCTTTAGACATGCAGGCCTGCTCGAACAAAACACACGGTCACGCCGCGGGTTTTGTTCGAGCAGGCCTGCATGTCTAAAGCTTTACGTGTTTTAAATGTATATGTTCCGTGTCGTGTCGTATTTGTGTTATGTGTTTATTTAATTGAACATTGACGAAACCATATGGTGAATAAAAACTTCACTAGTACTCAGCTGAGGATGACAATGTGTCGAAACATGTACTGAAACATGAAATGAAATTCAATGAGCTATTGACGTAAGTAATCTAGTCTTACAATAATATATACAGCTCAGGGGCTTAACAATGAATTTAAACTAATTATTTTGTTCATGCCTTTGGGCTTTTAGAGATTTTGTTTAATATCTCCTCATCATTTCTTTCCAGATAGGCTACAATGGCAGCAAATCCTCTTGCAGTAAAAGTGAAAGTGGAAACATCACATCAAGATGAGATATTCAATCACATTATCCAACAAATTATTGTCATACACAACTCCTTTAATGAGAAAGTTAAGCAGTTGGAGTCCAAAATGGATGGCTTTGTCAAAACGATGAAACAAGGGTTTTCCGATCATCTGTCAAGTGAAAAGAAACAGTGTCACTGTTGTCAAGAAGTTTTAGAAAAGATTTCTGGGATTGAACAATTCATTCAGAGCATTTTTGTTGAACGGAGGAATACAAATGTTGAAGAAGATGGGTTAGTATACATAGTACCTATATATTTTAATTAGGCCTTAGTAGGACTACTTACGAGTTTATATGAAAGGCCTAAGGTAAATTAATTGTTACCACACTTTACAGGCACATGGGGTTTTTAAGTACCCTAGGCCTAATAATGTCATGAGGTTGTGCTGATTTACATCTAGATCACCACTGTAATGTTTTTTTTTTTCGTCGCTTTTAAGGAAAATGTGTTTATTTGCTTTTTTGTACTAGATTTCAGAGGCCCGCTTTTATAAACGGGCAGACTGGGCATATCTCATGGGCGCCCTCAAACCACCGCCCGCCAGCACTAGGAAAAAGGGGGGCGCTGCTCTTGGGTTTGCCCAGGGCTCCACTGACCCTTAACGTGGCCCTGAGATTTCATGTTTACATTTGCCATGTTAGACAGATTTCATGTTTAGCCATATTTGGCAGATAGAACTATGAAGTGCACTCTAGTTGATATGGATAAAACCAACTAGAATAGTCAAGGATGTTCCAATTAGGCCTACTAAATGATCTCCCCATTTTTTTTTATATTTTTAACAAAAAATTTATAATTTTTTCAATAAATATTATTTTTTGACAGTAAAAAATTAGGTACTTACGTATTAAACGGAGGCCACCTAACCTACAGATTCAATTCGATTAGTAAACCTTTTTTGCGATTTTTTCACCATCAGCAAGTTTGGTTGGTTAGGTTAGGTTAAGATAGTTTAATTTGATAAAAAAACATATATTTATGATAACCCAACCTAACATAACCGCTGCAGCGCGCTGTAAAATATGTGGCCTCCGTATAATACGTAAGTACCAAAAATTAAATATCTAGCATTTCTATATTTTATTTATCTTTTGCAAAAAAATGTTACTTACGTAGGCCTAAATTATTGCTTACAAGGCTTGTGTACCTCCCATCAGATTGGGGGAATGACGATGGAACAGCGACTCAGTGCCATGACTGCGTTCAACTTGTCCATTGTCATCAAGAAAGACGCCAGAGAAGTGACTGAGCCGGCAAAATTTGTGCATGTCGAGTCTCTATTTTGTACCAATTATAAATGAAGATGAAGTAGAACATAGGTGTTCTTAGTAATGTGGTGTAGTGTGAGAAATGTTTGCTCAATTGAATAACAAATAACAATTTTATGTGAACAGATCGACAGATTTACCAGTTGTGTTGTTGCCGAGCTACAAGCCCCATTACAACATGTGTAGTACTGATGGTGACTCGTCCATTCAAGTTATCTCACTCAACTCCGAGACAGACTATCCTAACGGTTCATGGCTGGGCAACGAGAAAAATCCCGAGTCTCGCGTTAGAGTTCCTATCACTCCATCGTAAGTACTAACTTTAAAAGTTGTCGGACTTTCTGACCGCTTCAAAAGTTTTCTCAAATTGTTCTTCCTTGACTTTGCAAGTTCTCTTTGTGAACACAGTGTTTAATTTAGTCTGTTTAGGTAAACGCTTGTAAACTAAAATTGCAACTGTGAGATCTAAGACATTTTATTTTGATTTGGGTTTGTTAGGTTTTATGTTTTGAATAAAGTATTATGTATCTGTCAATTGCATTGGTGGAATCAATTTTGGTTGTATTTTAGTTCCTTAATTGTGTGGTCAGTTTAAGACCAAATAAGATATAACACCCATCCAAACTTACAGGCCCGCGGTTTGCATGTGACACGCTACGGGCCCGAGAGACGTTTGCGCCCCCTTTCCCTTTGTGAGGCATTTTTCTCTTCCGTACGCCCCCAACAAACTAAATGAAATCTTGACCCCCAACAAACCTGAAACCGCTTGCGGCCTTGCACAATTACTCTTTACTAATAATTGGCTCAAAATACACCTAGGCTGTATTTAATGAAAACTCAAGGTTGCTACAAGCACGGGACTTCTGTCCCGAATGCTTGGTTGCACTAATCACCAATATTGCTCCAAGATACCTAATATTGCCATGACAAGTTGGTTCGAACCCTTCTTGAGCTGTAGGTCATATCTTGATAATCAAAATGGAAGGTCTGTCGGGATAGGCTAACTTTTTTTTGTTGAAAAAGTACTACATCAAAAGCCTAATAATTACTTTTTTTAGACAACTACTCCACATCAATACCTTGTGCACTACACCGGAGAAGATGGCGATTGTACTTCTTGATCACTTGTTTCCTTTAGAAGTACAAGCTGTATCAAATTTATCCGGCAAAGGCAAGCACTTCAAGAAGCAATTGGACCCTTTAAAGGTAATAAGTGGTTGAGTAAGGCATAAACCCTCTCTTCAAAACTCATACCTTCCTTAGTTGAAGATGTTGTCATCGTGAAATATTCTAATTTGTTGTTTGTGTTATATATAAATTTTAGTGTTTCTTTTGCCAGATTGGACTCTTCCGTATTCAGGTAAGCTTATTTTAAACTAAAGAATCTTTTTTCCCCATGAAAACATAATTTTTATAGCACCACATTCCATAAAAATGATAATTCAACTATTTCTTTAGTAGTCCTACTTAAGTATGGAAATTCAATGGTATAGATCATGCAAATTAGAGTGGCGAGCTGATGTTAATTAGATGTGTTTGCAATAAGAACCCTTAAACCCAACTGCTGGTTTTGTTAATTTGTTTGGTTGCCTCAACAATTTATCGTTGGATTCATTTAATTCTAATAGTGTCTAGTGATGTGGTCTTTTTCTTGTTGGGAGCTTTTCCCTCATTTCTCCCTACATGCCATCCTAATTAATTGAAACTATCTTTATAACCAAAGAACCACCATTTATTTTTTATTAAGAACCATTTATATTTTATTGGTAGTTTTTTGGTTGCCGTTACGTTTTTTGTGTTGAGAAAACAGTGTTGTATTTACACACATCCAAAAGCGTTGTAAGCTGTCTCTGATATCCACTTCAACCTAGAAGCCAAGGCTAGAACTAAATACAGTACTAAAGGCTTTGCTACACCATTATATGCACGGTAAGGTTATGTTGTGCTTCAGATTTTTTAAGCCGATTACCTACCATTGTTTCAAATAGAGCAAGTCATATCGCCGCACATAAACTCTTTGGACTCACGCTAACGTATCTGCTGGATCGCTCGCCATAGAATCGGGAGCAGACGTAACGTTATGTCTGTGGCGCACGCATGCGCACTGAGCTCTTCCACATGGCAAGTGAAGAGAACTGGGTCTAAAGGGGCCTTGCGACATTCGGAGACATATGTCGCAGTGTGGCTTGGGCATCTGCTGTGTAACATTAGCTGCAGACAGCGGTGTTGTGTCAAGCTCGGGCATTGAATTAATCTTAACTTGAACTGTCAGTGCTGTAGACCGTGGTCTAATCAATCAGCAAGTGATAAAAGATATTGTCCTTCTAGCCAGGTGACAACACCTTAGATAGGTCTTGAATACCATCAGGTGTTCACCTGTCTGTTGTAGGTCAACCTAAAAACGGTGGTAAGTTCAGGTGGAAGTTTATTGGATTGGTGTATTCTTTGTGGGTCACAACAATGACTTTTGGGTCAAAGTTTGCACATAAAATTGGGATTTTTAATTTTTACTGAAATGAATTCTACAAAAGCTTCTATTTAGAAAGAATTTAGATAATTTAAACATCATAAATTGAGCATATTCAAGTCAATGAATAACCCCAGTCACTCAAAAGGGTAATATAGATTTTCTATTTTTAACCACACTAATTAATTTGCTTGTTTCTAGATTTACGGTATAAAAACTCATCTAATGCACAAATTCAACATCACCGAGAGAGACTGGTACAGGATCAAACAAAATCTAGACTCAAAATGTCGAACAGCTTGGAGGAAGAAAGCCAGGGGTCTGCCTCTATCCAAAAATAAGGTATTGGTATTGACATTTTTTTGTAAAGGTGGCATTTCGCCAGGGATGAAAATTCACAAAATAAACATAGCATTTCAGTCTGGTTGGGTTGTGTGATCAAATGGTTTGGGGGCCGCTGGTCTAGGGCACTCTTTTGGCAGTGGACAGTTTACATACAGCCAGTTTATGGCCTGTTTGTCCTAGCCTCCATTGTTCTGGTCTCATCCAAAGTTGCAAAAAGCCCCTAAGAGAATGTTCCCATAACTATATAAATTACAGTCTAGTTATCATATTAGTTGTTTCCAGGTGCAGGCTGAATAAAGAGAATTACAACCCTGTAGAAAGATTTTAGCCTGTAAGCTATAAGTGGAATAAAAGATCTTTAATTTGGAATGAAAATGCAATGAAATCCTCAATTTCATTGTGAACTAGCCTCTGAATCACTATGATATTTTACAGTATGATTAAAAGGTAAATTACCTCCTCTAACAGCTTGTGGTTCTTTTAGGCCCGGTTTCCCCAAAATGGTGTAAACTACGTTTATAATAAACTAGTTTAATTTTAAACTCCGTTTAAAATGTGTGTTCGGTTTCTCCAAGATTTTACTGGCTTCGTTTAAGATAAACGGCAATTCGAGCGGTTGGCAATCCTGAATGTGTATTTGTAATGAATCTTCGGTGGGCTTTGGGCTAGTGTTTCCTACAAACACCACAACGCTACGCTACAACTCATTAGAGTAGACAGCAACAAAGTGCGAATGCAGCTAGAATAACATCACTGTTTAAGGTTATGTTATCAAGTTATTATAAGTTGTTATCAAATTCAGATTCATTCCATTTATTGAAATGGTCAATTCTGTCCCTTATTTTAGTCTGCCCTCTTGTTCTAGGTACTAAAGTGTCATAATTTTCATCTTCTACTTCTCCGAAAATGTCTATTAACTCTTCCATTTGAGTTAAGGGGCAAATACTGCAATTATTAGTAGCCTAACTTGAAATAAAATCAAAAATACAAAAAAAAAAAGAACTTAATAAACACAATAAATTAAAATATAAATAAAATTTAACTTATAAGCTAACCCTAAACCAAGCCTATTTTCGTCCAAATGAATTTGCAGTTGCTTCAGGCCCGGTTTCCCCAACTCATTTAAACTTAGTTTTAAGTTAAACGGTGATTTAAACTTAGTTTAACTTTGATTTGTGTTTCCCCAAATTTAAACTATGTATTAATCTAAGTTCAAACTAAACCACCTCTCGACTTGGTTTAACTACTGGAGATAAAATAAACTGAGTTCAAATTAGTAAATTACAACAGTAACATAACCTCAAATAATTCCAAAACAATAGGTAGCCTAGGTTAATTGAAGCATCAACAAATTTATTTGGACGAAAATAGGCTTAACTTAGGGCTAGCTTATAGTGTAAAGGCCTATAATTATGTTAAGTTTTATTTATATTTTAATTTTATTTTGTTTATGAGTTCTTTTTATTTATTGTACATTTATTTTTTTGCAAGTTAGGCTACTATTTATTGCAGTATTTACCTTAACTAAAATGGAAGAGTTAATTGACATTTTCGAAGAAGTTGAAGATAAAGATTTTAACACTTTGGGACCAAGAACAAGAGGGCCTACAAAAATAAGGGACAGAATTCTTCTTGTTGTAAAAGAAAAATCAACTTTATAACATAACATAACCTTAAACAGTGATGTTATTCTAGCAGCATTCGCACTTTGCTCGTCTGCTCTACTGAGTTGTAGCGTAGCATAGCGAGCGTTGTAAGAAACACTAGCCCAAAGCCCACCGAAGATTCCTTACAAATACACATTCAGGATTGCCAACCGCTCGAATTGCCGTTTATCTTAAACGAAGCCAGTAAAATGTTGGATAAACCGAACACACATTTTAAACGGGGTTTAAAAATAAACTAGTTTATTATAAACGAAGTTTACACCATTTTGGGGAAACCGGGCCTCAATTATTATTGTTTTAACACCTACTTTTTGTTTTGATTTGAGGTTATGTTACTGTTGTAATTTACTAATTTGAACTCGGTTTATTTTATCCCTAGTAGTTAAACCAAGTCGAGAGGTGGTTTAGTTTGAACTTAGATTAATACCTAGTTTAAATTTGGGGAAACGCAAATCAAAGTTAAACTACGTTTAAATCACCGTTTAGCTTAAAACTAAGTTTAAATGAGTTAGGGAAACCGGGCCTTACTGTGATTGAATTACCTTGGTTTCCAGTTGCCTGGTTTTTTTATCAGGGTGACTTAATCAAGTTCAAGAATATTTGATCCTCATATCAGGATTGAACATGCTTATACCTTCGTTAATTTGAAAATAGAGCAGCCAAGAGCTTAAAACCGTGGTAGTTTAACTACACAAAAATATTCACTAGGTGTTATCATGGTAATCATGGTGTTCATGGTAATTTAACCTTGTCACTGTCTATTCAATAAATTCTCAACATTGAAGTTGAAAGGCTGGCTGCAATCTCTTTTAATACTCCTTTGAATTTATTTTGAATATGGTATTGACTTTAATTTGTGTTGTAAACCTCTGTTTTACATATTCATTTTTATTAGAATATGACAGGAATGAATTAAGATAAGTTGCAGTTCTAGGGCTTTTTCAAGGGGCAGAGGGCTACTGGGGAGTTTGGGACACCCCTAAAGAATGAGTGGGTCCAGGTTACAAAAAATTGGTATTTTTAAAGCTGTTTGGTCTAATGCCTATTTTTAATGTCTAAAACTGTATCCAATAACCTTCCTTACCATGACAAAATGTTTGTTTAAATTTATTTTTCCAGGAGCTCCTGTAGCTCCCGCCCCCCTTGGAACCCGTCACTGATTAAAATCCCCACGGATTTTTTAAAAATATTGTCAGTTGGCAATGAAGTTTGTAAGTTTAAACCATCGCTTGAAATGTTTGTTTTATTTCCAAGGCAAATCGTGAGGAGCCAGCAGAAAAGATGCCGAGGACCAACTCAATAGTTTTGAAGGAGTTATCGTTCATAAGTGAGGATAATTCCCAGGAACTATCATCAATGGTAAGCTCTGGAGACCAAGCATTACACTATGAACATAAGTTTAATGACTTTTGTCATTGTAATATACCTAATAATTGGACATAATTTTAAAATAGGCTTTAAAATTTTGTTTTAATCATGTTTAATCATACCTTTGTCAGCCATGCCATACTCATACTGAAATTGAATTCAAAATATTGTGCGTTAAGCTGTTGTTCAAATACTTAAATTACAATACTAGGCCAGGTTCCCACGAGCGACACATCTAGCTGCCAGGATGTGAATAGAATTTGCTGTGGTCCGACGACATACCAGTTCACACAAGCCAACACTCAACGACCGACTGCACGTTTCGCTACGCTTAAACGTATGGAAATGCTCAAATATGGCTACATGTAATGCTACGCCGCAGAGCTAGTGACTAGTTAGCCGCGACAATCGGCTAGGAAGCGGACCCTGGCGGTAGTTTGCGCAAACTTGATCGCCGCGGCCGTATGATCGTATGAACGCCTCCATTTGTTCATGTTGATCCATGGCTACATTTGATCGTGTGGTCCGCTACGTCGCGCCTGGGATCTAGTAACAGCCTGATGTGTCGCTCCTGTGAACTGGGCCTTACAGATGAATGAATTGGAAGCGAGGAAATCGTATTCCCTACTTGGCAATGAGAGAACTTATGGATCAGTAGGTAGTCTAAATGATACTACTCTGAACTCTCATTGCAGCTTATAAGACAACTATTTGATAAGTAAATTTCTTTTAATTAAAAACCCTAGTAAAGTGTATTTTTAGTCTTGTCTACAACTATCTTTCCAATGAATTTAGAGAATTATTATCAAACTAGTGCACCTGTTGCTCGAATTCAAGCAATTGTAAAGTATTACAGGCGTTATTTGAAAACGAATAACATTCATAATTTCCGATGACTTATAAGAGTTAAATCAAAGATAATGTAATCAATCTTGTGTGTATCATGTGTTTATTATGAACAGCTATTTTAGTACGCAAATAATACAAATTATTCGTCTGTTTAAGTAAACAAAATCTTTTCTTCATAAGAAATACATTGGGATTTTGATGGCCTGTGGGGCAAAGCCCGAGGACTTTTGTTACAGGAACTGGTTAAAGGGGGTGTCTCCACAACAAATACTTAATTTTGACCCCTTGTTTGTAAAAATCCATCCATTATTAACGGATGAGTATTGTTTTGTAGAAATCGCCTACACGTATTATATATAAGGATACTAGCTTGACTATACATATGCCATATTCATCGCTCGGTAGTTTATCAAAATCAATGATTTTTGTTAATATTTAAAACAACTTATTTGATTATTCCAATCTGTAATAGATGGCATAAGAAACAGTCATTCACTGAACAGCTGCATGTCAGGGGTCATTTGAGTAGCTCCTATGCTTGTTACAGATTGTGGAAGATAGTGATTGTTTGACGCTGTCAGGCACTTGCTGTGAGCAGACCTTGACAATCATCACAGACGCAGGGGACACTGTCAACGTACCCATACTGAGTGCAGAAGACGAACTCAACGATGAACACTCCTCCACCGATGACATACTCAGTTTGCGCACTTAATATTCATTTGTGTTATTTACCTACTATTGAACAATAAATAGTATACCACCTTTTCCTTTTACTGATGTTTTACAGCTAAAGTTGCCTCATTGTCAAATCTTATCTGTCTTATCTGTCAAACACTAAATAAAACCACACACACACTTACAAAATATACATACATGGAAGATGTAGAGTATGTTGAACAGATTCCACTCTGTAGTTAGATGGTAGTGTTGTGTACATCCTGAATCCACAATATTTTTTTACATTTGTTTGAGCTGGCCAAATAAATCTAAATATGTACGTGAATGTTTCATGTTCATGCACTGTATGTTTGAGTATGGTTGTTTTATCCATGTTGATTGCAGATGTTCAACAAAGAAGTCTGAAAATTGACTATGAGGCACCATAAAGCCCCGTTTACACCGGAGTTTGAAACACGAGTTGCAAACAGAAATTGCAAACATCTCTAAAAACCCACATTTTTAGACAAAACATTTTGCTGTTGCAAACAGTTTTTCAGTGTTTGTAACAGAAATTTTTGTTTCCACCTGAAGTCGGTAAAGATCAAAGGGAGTTTCAAACTTTTGTTTGCAACACTGGTTTCGGTCACTATGTGCCGTTGAAACACAAAACAGAAACCTTTCCCCGCCATCCCCTACGCTGCCACCTCCACTCTCACTCACACCACCCTGTGTCTCGACTCAAGTGTCATTATAATACAGGTATACAGACAGGTATACCCTGTCTGGACTGCTACTAGTTACCTCGTGATTGTTGTGAGTGATCAGTGGTGAGTGGCAATGGAAAATTTAATGAGTGAGATGGAGTGGGGAGATGATAACATTCTAAAGTGATTTAGCTTGTACAGAGAGCAGCAAGTCCTGTTGAACCAAACTACTGATTACAAATTGAAAACATGAAAAACTACGCATGGAATGATATTTCATTCAAAATGACATCCTCGACACTCGAAATGACTGATCCCAGGATCCAGAACATAGGCGAGTCATAATCAAGGTCGAAAGTGTTTCAAACATTTTCATGAAACGTGTGAATAAAACCATGAAATAAAAATTGTAAACTTTTATTTGAAACTACTGTTTGCAATAAGTTTGCAAATTTTTGTTTGAAACTTCGGTGTAAACGCGGCTTAAGCCTTGAAAGTGAAGTCATAGAAAATCTATAAGGATTGACAACATTAAATGTTAACATAACCTATTTATTTTGTGTAAAAAATGTTGACATAGCTAGAAAGTGCATTAAGTTGAGTCTAACACCTTGATACAAGACATGTACAGGAATGTTTTTTGAACAATTTTATAGTATATATTCAAAACATGTAGCCCTAAATTTCATAGAAATTTAACCCTTGCACTTCAATCCAACATGTCAATCCATTCTAGACGATCATGTACTGAGGTCCTGGTTTTGTTGTGCATTAACAAGAGAGTCCCAAAAAAATCAAATTAACAACTTAATAGGCCCGCTTTCTCCAAACTCGGTTAACCTGTTATTATAGTATAATCCCTGGGTTAACTCAACACTACTCTTTCTCCAACACTGAAAAATGTTTAACCCATGTTCCCACCTGGTTTGACTCCCTTCTCCGCAGTTAAATCTTCTAGTAGACGCCATTTCATCAAGCAGCAGACTTGGTCATCATAACCTCAAAGACAACGGTGTAAAGTTTAATATTATTTACGGTCCGTGTATTTTTATTTTAGGCTAGTTTTGTCATGGTATTAATCGTTGATATTTTATTTAAACAAATTGGAGGAAGAAGAGTTGGAAATACAAGCTCCCAATATATAGGGTAAAATACAGATTTTACAAAGTAACTTCACTCTGAATAAAGTTTTTTTATTTTACTTGTACTATTAATTACTATATTCTTTTTTGAGTCCGTTATCCCAACTATCAATCAATTACTAAACATAAAGGCGTAACGTTTTACGTTACTGTACTTTTGCTATACAATAACATAACCTACAAATTAGCTTGCCACTTTCTAAATACAACAGAAAAAAACTCTGGTATCATGTGACTGAAGACGTAAAAGTGAAAAAGTAAAAATTCAGTGCCGTCAAGATAGAATATTTCTAGTTACCTTGACCGGTCGGTTAAGTTTAGTTGAGATAGTGCTCATAGGGTTAGCGCGATAACTCGAGAAAAAATTATCAGATTTTGATGAAATCTGGGTAGATTTTACGTGTAAACCTACGTTTATTCTAATGAGTTCGCGAACCAGCATGATCGGACTATGGGAACAGGGGTTTATGGGGTAAAAATTTGTTTTTCTTATTTTTGACTCTAAAATCATAAAATTTCTAAAAATTTTCCAGACTTTTTTCTAGATCTTAAAAAAATAAATAATTGTGTATAATGAAGCGTTTTTGTATGCCTAACGGTTACAGAGATAATTAAAATAAACTTTAAATTTAAAATCCCAATGTTATTCTTAAGGAGAATAAATAATTTGTTGTATAGTTTGCTTGTACTGTATATGGATAAATTTTAATCATATTTGGTAATTTCATATTTTTCATAATAAGCTATCAACATTTCAATAAAAAAACACACCTAAATACCTTCCCTGTAGCAGTAAACCTAGGTACTCAATAAAATTAATGTTATTTAAATAGGAAATAAATCTGACAATTTTCAGGGAATATTTTAGTAGAAACCCAGCCAGGTAAATGGAAATTTGCTTAGTCTGCAGGTTTGCTGTGGCGGGGATATTTTTTTATTTGGATCGTTTGGACTAATAAGATCCAGACAAAATTATATAATACCCCTGGATACACCACCGAGTTTTAATATCTGTTAGTGCATGGTTTTAATATTTTTTTTCAGATGGCGATTGCAATATATACCTTCTCAAAAAGCTATTTGCAGGACACCAGAATATTTTAGAAATATCAGATAATCAGTAACTAATCAACTCTTCCAGAGGATAGAAAGAATGACATTTCACCCACTACTCTGTAGTGTACAATCTCTGTTAGTTGTTTCTTATGCATTGTGCAGGTTTACCCCTCGACAGTTAACAATAAAGAAGTCATTTTTGTATTTGTTTAATGTAAAAAGTAATAATTTACATTTAGAAAAATAAATGTTATCAATAATTCATTCTAAGAATGTTACGTTATGTGATACTGTATCTTCAAACACATTTTGCTTTTTAAATTTAAAAAGTGTTTTTTATCAGAAAAATTGTTAGTTTTATGTCCTATAAAGCTTGATGTTTGCAAACTACTTTGTGAAATAAGTGGTTTTTATGTCTACATACTGAAGAATTGGTTCATGTTACCTTAATAATTATTCGTAACAAATAAAAGCAAAAAAAGTTCTATACCTTTTATATTAGGTATATAATCATCAGATATCAAGTTCCAATAAGAAAGCAAACAAACCAAGTAATTTTATAAATATCTAAAACAATAATTACTTGAATCCCAAGCAAAACTGAACGTTAATTCTACACCTTGTAGGATACATGTCACACAATATTTTTGTAGTTTGTATGTTATTGGTAGAAGTCAAATAATGTGTATTGCCAATAAAAATAATGCAAATGTGTGGTTGTAGTTTCTTTACCTGTGACATTGCGTTCTATGAGAATGAGATTGATCAAAAAATAACTTTAGTCTCTTTCCCAACAACCTTAAAAAGAATGAATATATAATTTTTCATACTTTGCTGTACGATGTGAAGAGGATGTTGGTTAGAAATTATGCTGGTTATAAAGAAAAAAAAAACAGTGGTTTTTTCTATACAAAATTTGTATTTTTCTAATAAACAAACACGGTAGAAATTAAACTCTAATAAATACCTTACAAATACTAAGTAAAACAAACATTATAATGAAATGATGAGAAGCACCTTTACCTTTCTTTGATGTCAAATATTGTTTAACATCTCATCTATAATCTTTAAAATGAAGTAAAACGGTTACGTAACAATGATTTGTTAGTTGAATGATTGAAGCATTGTTAGTGTGTTAGATTCAACTAATTCTGTGAATACTCTAGTAGAGGTAATTAATTATGAATAGTACAAATTAATTACGTATCATTGTGCCCAAAGAATGAAGCATTACCACAGGGTCAAAATGATATTTTTACTTTTTCAAGAATACTTGACAAGAATCTTGTGTTTCTTATCCATTTAGGTTTGTTTGAGTGAGACTTTAGTAAATGCCTTCTTGTTAAGGATACACTAGTTTCGGCTTTCTTGGGCTATATAAATAAAATTTATTTTTTTCACTAGTTTTGTCTGTACACTTAGGATACATTGACACTGATATCTTGGTTGAACAAAAAAGTCCAAACGATCATAGGTTAATACAAAATTAAATCCAAATGGATACTTTTAAAATAACATGTGTGTAAAGACGGTAAATTACAGTAACATACTAAACAATAAAGGAATATCAAAATCATTGGATTGTAGATACCGACCAAGCCCTGGTTGAGGTAAGAAAACAGTGTGATTTTATATGCAGGTGGTCATACAAAACAGGAAATCTTAAATTTATATAACAGGAAGTATTCACAATAAACAGTAGATGCGTTCTGGTAAAGTGCTACGCAGAGAAAAACTATAAAGTGAGGAGTACTTATAGACTGTCACTGGGAAAACAATTGAATTACAACCTCTCCTAACTTAAAAACTAAGGAAGGGTATCCCAAGGATACATATTTCCAAACCAGGACCTAGGGCACATATGGTGAGGACTATCTGAATGTGTTTCATTATTTGGTAACTATACCAGAGGACAGGCAATATTTAACAGATAACAATTTCAATTTGATTGTGATTTTTGCAAAGTTGGTAAAGTAACAGAAATACGTCAAAATGGACTATATACTGGATATGATTATTTGAACTCTCTTTCAGCTGATCTGTAACGATGATAAGTTATAAAGGCAGTACATTAAATTCGGGCCACTATGTAGTGCAAGGCTTTACGTTAGGTCTCCAACAAGCTCCGGCCAATCGAGCTATAATATCAAGAGACAAGCGCTGTGTTCATTACCTTAAACCCACAACCAGGTCTCTTCCCTATGCATTGAAACTAATGGACTTATCATATTAGCCGAAAACAACATGAAGGAAAATGGTCACTACCATCTAGAATTAATCGTGTATTATGATAAGACATCCGTGGTGTAAGGCATCAACCCATATTCAAAACCGTCGCCAGTTGACAGACATGAATGAATGGAATAAAGAATGTGTACATAGAAAATGTGTGTTAGATGAGGCTCTAGCGCAGGGCGTCAAATTTACAACAAATCTTTTATTTACAATATTGTTTAGATGCGTTTAACACACTCACTACCCACTAATTCACTACTGGCTAATTGTGTTCTGTTGGTGCAAAAGACATTCAGAGGATTAAGCCGGGTGGGAGGGAACGTGTTAAAAAATGTAAAAACATAAATTTCCATCAGTCTCGTTTGAGTCAGTTACCAAAGTCTAAGGAATTTTGTTTACAATTTGCAGTGTGACCTAAAGAGATTTTGCCAAATGATAGAAGACATCAAGACTATCATGAAGAACGGTAAACAACTAGTCTTAAACACTCCAATCAGCAAGCAGTTTCAATTTTAATCACTGTCTTGATTGAAATTTGTGAACATCCACTGCTAGGCTTTAATGTAAATTTGTATGGTCTTCTGCGGACTCTCTAAGCACATTTTCTCCGTCCTAACAATTGTTTGCGCACACATCTGTCAACCGGCAACAGATTGCGATAGAAGTTGACCTTCCTACGGAAATCTTCTCACAGAACGCAATATATACTTGGCATGAGCATGGATTTTCTTTTCTACTATTGTGACAAGACTAAATTGTTGCGTAGGGGTGAGAACCAGCTAGCGTAGGAGAGGTAAGGTGAAGAGCACGGCGTTAGTCTGAGATTGTAACTGCTGTACCTCTCATGGCTGCAACAGGAGCTCAATGGTGACTTTACTTTACAGACAGCCCTTTTGTCACAGAAAACATACTACTATAACCCAGAATGCCAACCACATGGTAAAAAGCGTTAAGTACTTTGAGAGAGCTTTGCCTGTCAATTCGTAGGCAGCGCCACCAGCGTTGCCATGCTGAGTGCATAGCTGCCTACGAATTGACAGGCAAAGCTCTCTCAAAGTACTTAACGCTTTTTACCATGTGGTTGGCATTCTGGGTTATAGTAGTATGTTTTCTGTGCTTTTGTTCAAGGCATTGACTATTGGATAATGATGTAGACATCCTATCTATATGAATCAGCTGTCGCCAATTTTTTATTAAAAAACAATATAATTGAATGAGCAGCTAGAATGCGTTAATTATTTTGCACCAACTTCAGAAATAATTTTTCAATCATTTGGCACTGCTGATGGGTGTTCTCTGGACTTCACACCACTCGTCCAAATGCGAACTCTCATTAAAGGTAGGCCTAAACGGGCTGTTTTTTTTTTAAGGTTTACCATTTATTTATTTTGCATGGTGTGCTCTTTGGACATTTTGTTTTGTAAATAAAGATTAAATGCATCTCTGTTTTGTTATTTTAGTTTAGTTTTAGTGACTTGGCCAATTGTTAAAAACCGAACGGCTAAATAAATCTTGAATCCTGAACCATGGATTAAGCTGTAAATAGGAATCCATATCATGTTATGTCTTTCCCATAAGTGTTAATTTAAAAACAAAAATTTTCTTTGGTTAGTGATTTTGTACAGTTTTATAAATTCTGTAATTTGATTACCATAACAGATGTGTAATATCTTTGGCTTAATATCTTAACTGACTAGTAATTAACCTACTAATGTAAAGCTTACAGTAAAAAATCAATAACAAACATTTCAGATACTATATTACGAGGGTTTTATGTTATTTCCACAAAAGGACAAGGTTATTAATTCAAAGCTATAATGAAAAACTCTACTCCATTGTGCAGTCGACAATAGTTATTTGTGCAACTAGTGAGAAAAGTGAGCAATTGTACTTTGAACTCGAGTTGCACGTTATACGTTTCCTACAGTTACCATAAAACAAATAAATTGGTGAAGAAACATAACCTATTTTTACACAGAAGTGAACTTTTAATGTGAAGTGACAAATACAACAATACAACAGCTGACCAGCTGATTTACAGCCAGTGCTGCCAACGTATTTCGCGCGCATACGACGGCGACGTTGCCTGCATGTTACGCGCTCACTATTTTGTGCCTTCACGTTGCAAATCTGGAGTGAGACAAAGTAATTAGAGTGAGATAATGTTAACATTGTCTCACTGATGAGCGAATTGGCCACTTTGCTTTCTCAAATCAGTGAGAGAACATGTACATTGTTAGGTAACTGTAGGAAAAGAATATATCCCCCAATTTTACTGAATTACTTTACCCTACTCATAAGAGAATTTGTTTAACTAGGCACAATTACCGTGGCAAACCACATGGTGATATATTTTTACAGGATAAAGCTAGTGAAAACTTAATACAAGATGATGGACTGAATTGATATATTCCTCAATATATTGATGCAGTCATAAAAGGTCAAACCCATTTTCATATTTAATTGACTTATTGAAGCTAGGTATCTTGCAAGATTGTGTGATCTTTTATAAAGAATAATTGACAACTTTTATTTTCATATAAGTAGGTCCACTGTCAAGCTAGGTAACCCAACACATGGAATTTAGTGAGCGAGCAGCACTAGAAGCATGAAAAACTTTTATGATAGGCTTACAATTAGGTTTTGTGTTGATTTCCAAACAATTGTTTAGAAAAGTATGAATGACTGATGCAAGTTAATGACTTGACTTAAAAGAGTTTAGTACAGATTCAATAATACCTCTTTAATTTACCTATAGTAAAGTAACGTGCAGATATTTGTACGGTACCAACAAATTTTATCTTTTTTGGTACCTGAGTAAGTTATATGCTTGTCTTCAATTCCAGGCGAGCATACCAGGTGATAGTAGAAATATATCATAAAGACCCAGTTGTTAGCCTATTTTGCATTGGGTAATAATGATGCTTTCTGACAACATGTTACAGTAACTAATTAGCCTACCAGTATTTAAACAGTTCCCTCACAAAACACAATAGATTGATCTGGCATATAAAAACCCTATTGACTGAAATGAATGAATAGAAATTACGAATGATTACAGTATAAAGGCTTCAGACTATAGTTATAAAACACCGAGAACAAGATTGATCGTTACCTAGTGGATTCCATAAAAAAAACGTTATACATTATCTTATACCGTAATAGATTATAGATCATAATGGATTGATTTTAAAAACAATAAATGTATGATTAGCTAATTAATAAATATATTGGTTAAAACACAAGAACTTACCACTAAGCCATTAATTTTTACAATAACAGAATCACAAGACATTGTTAACATTCGAACCCTAACCACCTGAGGTTTTTGTACCGGCAATTTGCAAGGTTACACAGAAGTGTTATCAGTTAGACTGAATATAGGAAACTGACATTATTAGGATTTTAATATCTAATATCCTATAGCTTTAAGATAAAATAATTGTGACAGTGGTTTAAAACCAAACAAAAACCCTAACTTACCTACATGGCATCATCTTGCTGGCCTTTCTTGAGACAAAGCGGAGTGTGGTGAAACCAGCAGTGACGTACGAGATAGCTATTCCTGTAGAACTTGGCGTTGCAAGCACCGCAGCGATACTGTGCCGTCAAGTTGAGACCTCTGTGGTGATACTGCAGATGATTCAGAAGCTGGGCGTTGTTCTCAAAGTCCTCATGACACAAGCCACATTTGAAGTGATTCGTAGTTAGTGGGCTTATACCGTCATTTTCCAAATGAAACTTGGTAAAGAAAGAAGTGGTCTTCTCGCAAGGGTTTTTTGGTGGTGTAGTAATTGGTTTGAAGGCCGATGACAACTGAGTCTGTGGCTTTTTCTCTTTTTTAAACAAAGAAAACCACCTGATTTTATTCTTCTTTTCTTTATTCAGGTCAACCATACCAGTGTTTTCTTTATCCTCGTCAATAGATTCTGGTATATCAAATCTAAGTTTTCGACGAGCACTATTTTGTATCCTGATTGCTTCGTAACTTCCGTTGTTAGGTGGTGTTACAGCACAGCGATTTTCATCATGAAGGTTCATTTCCTCCAATGGATCCTTAGGAGGTTTTAGAATCGATTTCACTCGTTTCACTTTACCTCCACTTCTACTGGCAGTAGGTTTTTTCATTGCTTTGTCGTCATCCGCTGAGTTTAGGTCTTCAATATCTTCACAAAAAAATTTCATATCTTTTGAACTGAGAGTGATGCTCGTGTTCTGATGCTTGAGAAAGTTCTCTAGTTCGTTCATGTGTTTTTTCTCCACATGCATAATCAACCTCTTGACGTGTTTTTGCAGCAGTTTGAAGGAACAAAACCTACACTGAGCATAGTTGTTTCGCCCGAGGCCCAAGAAGACAACCGAATCTTCATGTTTGTGCAGAACATGTTTTGGAAGAAGATCTTTTACATAAAATTTAGCATGGCAGAAAGGACAAGCGTGAAACTCAAAATAGTAGTTGGTACTTTTGGCAATATTCATGATTTCAGTTGGATGAGAATTCTTTATGTGGTCTTTGAAGATGAATTCAAAATGACACGTAAAGCAGCAAAAGGGACAGTAGAGGACGACAGGAACATTGCAAGCTTCAGAGATGAACTGATTAGCGATAAAGCTAATGTTCTCAGAATCGTCGAGTATTTTGTTCTGTGGAGACATTGGTGATGAAGTGAAGACATGACTTCGGAATTCATCAAATCTACTATCGTCCATAAACGGTAACATGGAGCCTTTCTTGGTGTTAGCCAAGAAATCTTTGTAGTCTAAGTTTTCTTGGACTGTTTCTGTGCTGCTATTGGCAAAAACATCTGCAGAGTCGTTCAACTCAGCCATTCTCGATACCCTGAAAAACATTAGGTGGTTTAAAAACTATAGTAAACCCACTTTCCCTATCAACTAACTAACATAATTTTGAAATGGTTCTTTACTAAAATCTATAATTTACAAAATCTATGATAAGAAGAGAAATGATATGTTTAAGAAACATAATTGACATAAAAACTCATTTAATGTTATACTATGCATACTTCTATTCAATTTTTCAATATGGAATTGAATTCTGCGGCTTTGCATCAAACATTGATTTAATTTTTAAGATTCAGAAAAAATGTTTAAGAATAATGACATTTGCACCATGGAGAACATCATGTAATTTTTAAAGAATTAGCAGTAATGACTGTTCCGAGTTTAAACATTTTTAAAACACTTTTGATGGTAGAAGGAAATTTTGAAAAATGATGTAGTGAAAACGTTGAGCAAAGGTATGATACTAGGTTCAAAACTAACTTTCAATATCCGCGGCATCGTCTTTCAATAGTAGGAAAAACTCTGGCATACATGGGCAAAAACTATTTAATAAACTGTCTCACGAATTAAAGAACAAAATACATTACAACAAGCATTTCAAAAGCAGCCATGCTAATTTTCTTTTAAGAAAAACTTATTACAGTATAGATGAGTTCTTAACTGTTCATCTTCTGTAAAAATAAATTTGTTTAAACAAAATGTTTTAACTGATATAGGCCTACTGTATTTTGTTTATAGCCTACTACTACTTTTATTTTTATAACTAAGCCTAGCCTATTCCATAACATAAAAAAAAAAAAAAACACATGGGTGTAACAGCACTTTTTCCCATCTTGATTTAAACTAGTGTACCTGTTGCTCAAATTCGAGCAATTGCTAAGTATTACAGGCGTTATTGTTATTTTAAAATGAATAACAGTCATAATTTCTGATAACTTTAAAACATTCGACTCAAAAGATTATGGAAATACTAAAGATGTACATAGGCCTAATAGATCAATATAATCAACATTTATTGTAAATAGTGTTTTCTACAAAAATAGCCTTACTCATAGCTGCATTGGGGTTTCCAGACACATTGTGTGTCCAAAACACGACTCCCTTCCACATACCGTCCTGAGCGATAGGGATCATTGAGATTCGCTCTAACCTTTCCTCTCCCCTTCATGGGCAAGTTGTCATCCCTTTTCTTTCTTAGTTTTTGTTTGTTTCTTTTTTAAATTTTAATGCCTGTATGTATCCCTTGTCTTTTTTTATTTCCCTAGCTACTTTTCTAAACGTCTCAATTGCTTCCTTGTCACTCATCATGTTTTATTTTCTCATCTCTAGGCTTATCTTTTCTTATCCAAGACTTATTCCTGTTCTCTCCTATTTGTCTCCTGAAGTGAGCAATTTAAAAATACGTGACTCGTAGTTTTTATTTCTCCACATCTACCTCCTCCTCCATGTGAAATTTTCACAAAATCGCATGGAAATTGTCAATGTCCTGTGACAAACTGTGTTTTATTTATTTTATTTTATTTATTTATTATCATCACATTACATCAATGATTGACAGGTGATTTGTCATCAAACTAAAATCTATTGTAACAAAACAACAATCATAATATTAAAAATAATTATACATTTGTTAGGAAATCTTCCAGTGAAAAAAATGCCTTCTCCAGAAGCCATATCTTAAGTGTTTTTTTTAAATTTCAATATGCAATCAATTTCTTTTATTGTTGAAGGCAGCTTATTATAAATTTTGGGTCCCATATATTGTGGGGATAAATGAAATAATTTTAGTCTATGTTGCATTGGTTTTATTATTTTTTTGTATCATGTTTGTGAGAGGGCTGACTCTCCATAAGTGTATCCAAGTTACTCTTGACCATTATAGAAATATAATAAATATAAGAGCTGTATAAAGTGAGAATTTTGAATCGACTGAAATATTCTTGGCAATGTGTATCTGGAGGAACCTTGGCTATATGTTTAATCGCCCTTTTTTGAAGGATAAACACTTTTTTGCTTTCACTATACGATCCCCATAAAATAAGTCCGTAATTCATAATTGAAGCAAAATAAGCATGATATACTGAAATTTGTGTGTCAAAATTTGTTGTATCTCTAATTACTTGTAATACAAATACAGCTGAATTAAGTCTTTTTGATCAATTTTTAATGTGAGTTTGCCAATTTAAATGTGAGTCTATTTTTATTCCTAAATAATCAACTGAATCTTGAGAAACTATCAAATTTGAGTTTGAATTTAGGGTGATCTCATCTTTTATATTGGAGGCAGAGAATTGTATCAGCTGTGTCTTGGATACATTCATGGAGAGGCCGTTGACAGCAAACCAGTCCTCAAGAGAATGGAGCTCTCTGGTGATTGTGTGAATAATGTCGACACCTTTTTGCTCTTTGCAAATTATTGCTGTATCATCTGCATACTGAAATATTGGCATTTTTGATACACTTCCTAGGTCGTTTACAAATAAAATGAATAGACATGGTCCAAGAATTGATCCTTGAGGCACTCCAAATGGAACATCCTCCCAATCTGACATGTAATTATTTTGAAATTTGTTTATTATTATCCTTTGTTTACGGTTATTTAGATAAGAAGCAAACCATTGTAATGCTATATTTTTTATTCCATGTCTACTTAATTTTTCAAGAAGTATTCCATGATCAACACAGTCAAAGGCCTTGGACAAGTCACACAACACTCCCACAGTCTGCTGTGCTCCATCCAAGGCCCCAGCAATATTGTTGATCATGTCGGTTACTGCTTTTTGAGTGTTAAGGTTAGGCCGGAATCCAAATTGAGAGGGGTTGATTAGATTATTGTTTTCCAAATATTGTACTAGTTGGTTTTTGACAATTTTTTCAAAAATTTTTGAAAAGCAAGGTAGCAACGCAACAGGACGATAATTAGAGGGATTATTAACATCACCTTTCTTAAATAAAGGTTTTACTTCTGCATATTTGAGTTTGTCTGGAAATACACCTTTCTCCAGGGACTGGTTTACTATTCTGCAGAATAAGTCCTCAAAGACATAAAAAACACGCTTTATCACAAAAAGAGGGATTTCATCCCACCCTGATGATCTTGTGTTACTTATGGTATTTAAAACTTTCTTAACTTCTGCAACACAGACTGTCCTAAGGTTAAATCTTGCATTATTAAGTTGAGAAATGTGTTTACTATTTTTCTCAAATAAGTTAATGGCTTTGGTTTTATTTGAAAATTGATTTGAGGGATATGAGGCATTTACAAAAAAATTATTAAAATTGTTTGCAATTGATACAATATTACTCATTTTGGCATTTTCACTGTTTGTAACTTCAATAGGTGTTTCTGACGATTGCTTTTTTAATCCAAGTTCTTTTTTTACAACAGCCCGTGATGCTTTAGATTTATTTTTAGATTTTTTAATGAAATCATCATTTGATTTTAGTTTTGCTAATGCAACAACTTTTTTGAACACTTTCTTAATGGAAATTGAAATTGCTTTCATAATGGCCCATCTCGCAATCTTGTTCCAGTCTCTTTCTGATGTTAGGTATGTATACGAACGTTTACCTTTAAAACGTTAACATAAAACACTCTGCTCCCAACGCATTTGCCACTCATCTAATATGTCCTCTCTTCTGTTTCCAAATTAGTCCTACCCTCCTCCTTGTCTTCCAAAATCAATGGCTTATGCAGCGATTATCCAACAGTCCTAAATTGAATGTGAAATCTTCAGGCGACTGTTGGAGAGCACACTTTATACCCAACATGGAAGGGTGCTTGCTGGATTCGGCTATCAACGACAATAGTATTATTTGTATTTCGTTCGCGTCTACCAGTTAAAGTTCGTCGGCCTCTTCCTATTTGCCGTCCTAGTAAACGTCTTATGGTCTCCATCATGTCAAACGTTTTTTGGTTATGTTTTGATTTTGTGCAAAATTTTAGTGTAACCATCTGTTTCAAATATTAGTGTCAATTTCAAAGAATTCATCTGTTCAAATATAAACAAACATTTTCTCCCTAAGAATAACATGGGAACTTTGAAGGCCACTGGGGCAGAGCCCTAGTGGTATTCCAAAGTTTTTTTGTTTGATGGAAAAACTACATGCTAAGACCTTTCTAACAACACCTTGAACATGGTGATGGGTATTCTTTTCTCTTTTGAACATGGTTCTTTTTTTAGTAAAAAACACAATGTTACCAGAGGCTGAAGATGGGTTTGGATGAAAACTCGAAATATACCTCCACATTTTTTAGTAAATTGTAATTAATTTATTTTAGTGATGAGTAGCCAACAAACCAAGAATAACATTGATAATGCCATCACGAAAAAAAACATAGTGGAATGAAAGTTAAAATAAGTATTACGGTTGTATTTGAGTGGAAGTACATGGTAAAATTTTTTGGTTGACTTTCATAAGGGGCCAAAAACAACCTAATGAAAAAAATTCAAAAATTTTTATAGGGTATTGAACCGATATGTCAAACTTAAATATTGATATAGGCCTAGGGTATCTTATGTTTAAGTTAAGGGCGCGCTTTACCTCAGCTCGGGCTTCAGTAGCTATGTTTCACCATTGGACAGCGCTGCGAGAAGCGCTTGCAGACGTTTCCAAGATTAGGCTACTGTCTTAGAATTAACAAATAATGATAGCTACGGTTAGCTCTAAACGGCTTATAGTAGGACAAAGACCAATCTTTAGTGTTCTGCGTTTTTCAAATGGTCAAAAAACTTTTTTTTATAAGTTAAGGCTAGTTGAAAAGATTCTTTTTTCTTGTACCACAACTCAAGTTTATAAGGTGTGTATTTAAAATAATTGAAATACAGAAACAAAGAACTATATAAAATTTTATCCTCTTTAATATGAGACCTTAACTTTGATTCTACCTTCAATGTAGCAGGTGAAAACAGAAATCTTGCAAACCCTTGCAATCGGTTGCGCGTCAGAGGTAAAGCGCGCCCTTAAGTTCAATATTAAATTCATTTGGTTGAATATCAGGGGTAGACTTCCATAGGCCTATCTGTTGGCACTAACAACCGAATGAAAATATCGATTGTTTCATTCGATATATCGTTTGGTTAGTTAGGTTAACTTTACCTAAGTTAACTTAACCAACCAAACGATATATTGAATAATCGATACTTTCATTTGGTTGTTTGTGCCAACAGATACGGAAGTCTACCAGAATATCGGTATATTTAAGTTTGATTTTTTTATTCGGTTGTTTATGGCCCCACTTATGAAAGTGTCCTTCAAAGTCTGACTTGAACTCACATCTTTAAGTTGAACAAACCTTTCACACAATCAGTCGAATCATTTTGTTCACATGAAATTGAACATGTACAGCAGGCTTAAGATATACTTAAACTAAGTTTAAGTTAGGCCTAGGCTATTCTGCGGGGTTAAAGTACTTAAGGCCTTAGGCTTACTCAGAAGTAGATCTAAGTAGTCTATTTTTTTAGCAAGACCTATATTAAACAGCCAAACAAAATACAGTAATGTTAAAAATGTACCTAGGGCCAAGTTAAACTACAATAGGCTAGGACTTCGTCTAAACAGAACTTTTCGGGATGTGCTAGCCTACATCAAACTAATTGCAAATAGCCAATGCAAGTAAGTACCTAGTAAGTGATCAAATTTGTTAAATTTAAAGCGAGTCTGTCCGATTTTTAAGATAATACGTGGATAATACATTTTTCCTACGCTACCGTTAAACAACATAAATAGGCTAGCTAACATACAACTTAAACTTACCAACAGTGTAAACACTGATAATAAGGGTTTAGTGTGTTCTACGAGGCTATTAATTAATAAGTTAGGGATTAATTTGTTTCAGCATATAACTCATTCCCTATGCTTTTCAGTTAACTTAAAGACAAATTGTATAGAATTTAGAAGTAGAATTCAAAAGTTTGAATTTAAAACTGACAGTTTCGTTTCCTTTCGTTTTTGCACTGGTCCTTTTTCCGTTAAGTCCGGTGTTATTGCGGAATCCGGAATCATGGAATGGAACATCTACTTCTTCTTTTTTCTTAATAACTTTATGGCATAAAAACTGTAACTGAACATTAAAAACATCCAGCAATGATTATATAATAGATAGCAGTAACATTTTGGGTTTGGGGTTTGGGCCCCATAACAATTTCTAGTGGGACCTTGCTTTGAGTCCAGGCCGCGGCTTCTCCTCAGATTATTTGGATTCTAAAACTTTTGTTTATTGTCTTCAAAACGGTGACTGTATTATAGTTTAAATGTGTTGAAATTGTACTGACCATTCCTATTGCAATTTATATTGTTTAACGGAATAACGAATTGTCTATTGTCCCCAAGGGGAGGGAGAGGGAGGCTATAAGATATTAAGTGGCAATACAAATTTTAATAAGCTACCTAACTCAATCAAGTGCCTTGAGCGTAAACTTTTCACGAAGAAGTTTGTCCCTCTCCTTAAGTCCAGAGCGTTCTACTCTCTAAGGCTACGGCCACACGGGCGTTTTTTCACGCAGTAAAATGTAGCTTATTCTCACGTCGGTTGAAGTCCAAGAGCAGCAAAATGCAGTGGGAACCCGCAGTTGATTGACGAATTCACGTAATTATGTTATATATCTTCCTCATGGCCGTAAACAGAGCGTGAAAACAAGCTTCAAAAATGCACCCCAGTCCATTCTTCGTCTGCAAAATCACCCGCGGCGGGCCCGCAGAAGAATGGACTAGGGTGCATTTTTTTGCAGCTTGTTTTCACGCTCTGTTCCTGGCCACACGGGCGGGACGGGAGCAACACACAGCTTTGATCGAGTCGTTCTAGCAAGTTGAAATAAAGATAAATGGATCGAATTTTACCAGGATAGCGTAAAATATTTTTGGGTCTAGCCAATTACAAGATTTGCCTACACGTTTTATCTTAAACATAGGTCGACCTTATATAATATACCTTGTATATTGAAGTTCGAAGTTCTGACGCCAATGCCATCAATCCCTTATTGGGTAGGGGTAAAAGATAAAGACACGACACACGGCAATATTAATGTTATTTGTTGATGTCCTCCACATCAGTATATATATATATATATATCGGTTATATGGGATGTCTGTAAAATTCGACTATTTCTGTTTCGGTCATTTGCGTTGTCGGTCATCTGGATAAAAAAAAACCAAGCGACTTAGGCCTTCTCCATAGTCCGACCAATGACAATTTTTCTAGTCTGCTCCGCTTCCGCTCGTCTTGTCGCTTGTGTTGTGTTCGTTCCGCGTTCGTTCGTTCATTGTTTTGTGTTGTTTATGTCTGTCAGAGCACTAGTCTAGTCTCTTTAGGTTATGTTGAAGAATGTGAATTTTTGAATGTGTAGCCTAGTAGACAATATTAACTTTACTGTTGTTGATACTAACCGTGTCCGGGTGCATTAAAATTCCCTACTAAATATCTGACTGAGAAATAAGTTCAGTTAGTTATTAGCCTATTTCATGTGCAATAACTTAATTGTATTTGATCAGTACTCTGTAGGCCTACTGGTGGACTGCAAAGTAGATAAGCAGTAAACAATTTGTTTGCTCGTTTCTGTTTTGAGTTTTAAAAGTTTCCTTGGGAAGCCGATTATGAGTATTACTGTAATTGTTATATAATGTCTAACAAAAAAAGGAATGTTGCTTATATCAAGCCTGATGAACCAGCATTTTTGGCGAGACTTAAAAAAGAAGCTGGCTTTGTAGAAGGCCCCACTATTGACACAAAGGTAGGAAGTTCCAACAAATGTTTATTTTTACGCAGAGGATAAGTTAGGCGTCCGGCAGTTAACTGTCATAACCTAACCTAACCAACCAAACTTGCTGATAATGAAAAAATAGAATGAAGGTTATATTCTGTTCATAAAATTAAATTATAAATGCCAAAAATTCTAACAAAAGATGTACAGTTAAGAATAAATGGCTATCAAAGCAAAATCTTTGACAAAAAGTTAAAGTTTCCGATGGGATTCGAACCAGGGACCTCTTGCATATCAGCCGAGCACATTGGTGTGAACCTGGCAATAACTCCAGCCATAAGTAGTGCGCGCGCCCGAAAAAATCTATTGCTGGCCGTTTTGCGGCAAAATGCGACCGCGTAACATGAAACCGATGATGTCACCAGATAGAGGACAGTTTAACGGACACAACAGTATCAATATCATGTACCTGGGGAATAAGAAAGGGGGGGTAAAGTCAGCAATAAGTAGTGGGCGCGCCCGAAAAAATCTATTGCCGGCCGTATTGCGGAAAAATACGTCCGCGAGCAATAATAACGACGATGCCAACAGATAGAGGACACTTCAACGGACACGACAGTATCAACATCATGTACCTGGGGAGTAATTTAGGGGGGGGTAAAACCAGCAATAAGTAGTGGGCGCGCCCGAAAAAATCTATTCCCGGCCGTATTGCGGAAAAATACGTCCGCGAGCAATAATAACGACGATGCCAACAGATAGAGGACACTTCAACGGACACGACAGTATCAACATCATGTACCTGGGGAGTAATATAAGGGGGGTAAAACCAGCAATAACTTGTGCGCGCCCGATAAAATCTATTGCTGGCCGTATTGCCGAAAAATACGTCCGCAAGCAATATTAAAAATGATGCCAACAGATAGAGGACACTTCAACGGACACGACAGTATCAACTTCATGTACCTGGGGAGTAATTTAGGGGGAGTAAAACCAGCAATAAGTAGTGCGCGCGCCCGATAAAATCTATTGCCAGCCGTATTGCGGAAAAATACGTCCGCGAGCAATAATAACGACGATGCCAACAGATAGAGGACACTTCAACGGACACGACAGTATCAACATCATGTACCTGGGGAGTAATATAAGGGGGGTAAAACCAGCAATAAGTTGTGCGCGCGCCCTTTCAAATCTATTGCTGGCCGTATTGCGGAGAAATACGTCCGCAAGCAATAATAACGACGACGCCAACAGATAGAGGACACTTCAACGGACACGACAGTATCAATATCATGTACCTGGGGAGTAATATAGGGGGGGTAAAACCAGCAATAAATTGTGCGCGCGCCCTTTCAAATCTATTGCTGGCCGTATCGCGGAAAAATACGTCCGCGAGCAATAATAACGACGATGCCAACAGATAGAGGACACTTCAACGGACACGACAGTATCAACATCATGGACCTGGGGAGTAATTTAGGGGGACGTATTTTTCGGCAATACGGCCAGCAATAGATTTTATCGGGCGCGCGCACAACTTATTGCTGGTTTTACCCCCCTTATATTACTCCCCAGGTACATGATGTTGATACTGTCGTGTCCGTTGAAGTGTCCCCTATCTGTTGGCATCGTCGTTATTATTGCTCGCGGACATATTTTTCCGCAATACGGCCGGCAATAGATTTTTTCGGGCGCGCCCACAACTTATTACTGGTTTTACCCCCCCTAAATTACTCCCCAGGTACATGATGTTGATACTGTAGTGTCCGTTGAAGTGTGCTCTATCTGTTGGCATCGTCGTTATTATTGCTCGCGGACGTATTTCTCCGCAATACGGCCAGCAATAGATTTGAAAGGGCGCGCGCACAACTTATTGCTGGTTTTACCCCCCTTATATTACTCCCCAGGTACATGATGTTGATACTGTCGTGTCCGTTGAAGTGTCCTCTATCTGTTGGCATCGTCGTTATTATTGCTCGCGGACGTATTTTTCCGCAATACGGCCAGGAATAGATTTTTTCGGGCGCGCCCACTACTTATTGCTGGTTTTACCCCCCCCCCCCCCCCTAAATTACTCCCCAGGTACATGATGTTGATACTGTCGTGTCCGTTGAAGTGTCCTCTATCTGTTGGCATCGTCGTTATTATTGCTCGCGGACGTATTTTTCCGCAATACGGCCGGCAATAGATTTTATCGGGCGCGCGCACTACTTATTGCTGGTTTTACTCCCCCTAAATTACTCCCCAGGTACATTAAGTTGATACTGTCGTGTCCGTTGAAGTGTCCTCTATCTGTTGGCATCATTTTTAATATTGCTTGCGGACGTATTTTTCGGCAATACGGCCAGCAATAGATTTTATCGGGCGCGCGCACTACTTATTGCTGGTTTTACTCCCCCTAAATTACTCCCCAGGTACATGAAGTTGATACTGTCGTGTCCGTTGAAGTGTCCTCTATCTGTTGGCATCATTTTTAATATTGCTTGCGGACGTATTTTTCGGCAATACGGCCAGCAATAGATTTGAAAGGGCGCGCGCACAACTTATTGCTGGTTTTACCCCCCTTATATTACTCCCCAGGTACATGAAGTTGATACTGTCGTGTTCGTTGAAGTGCCCTCTATCTATTGGCGTCGTCGTTATTATTGCTCGCGGACGTATTTCTCCGCAATACGGCCAGCAATAGATTTGAAAGGGCGCGCGCACAACTTATTGCTGGTTTTACCCCCCTTATATTACTCCCCAGGTACATGATGTTGATACTGTCGTGTCCGTTGAAGTGTCCTCTATCTGTTGGCATCGTCGTTATTATTGCTCGCGGACGTATTTTTCCGCAATACGGCCGGGAATAGATTTTTTCGGGCGCGCCCACTACTTATTGCTGGTTTTACCCCCCCTAAATTACTCCCCAGGTACATGATGTTGATACTGTCGTGTCCGTTGAAGTGTCCTCTATCTGTTGGCATCGTCGTTATTATTGCTCGCGGACGTATTTTTCCGCAATACGGCCGGCAATAGATTTTATCGGGCGCGCGCACTACTTATTGCTGGTTTTACTCCCCCTAAATTACTCCCCAGGTACATGAAGTTGATACTGTCGTGTCCGTTGAAGTGTCCTCTATCTGTTGGCATCATTTTTAATATTGCTTGCGGACGTATTTTTCGGCAATACGGCCAGCAATAGATTTTATCGGGCGCGCGCACAACTTATTGCTGGTTTTACCCCCCTTATATTACTCCCCAGGTACATGATGTTGATACTGTCGTGTCCGTTGAAGTGTCCTCTATCTGTTGGCATCGTCGTTATTATTGCTCGCGGACGTATTTTTCCGCAATACGGCCGGGAATAGATTTTTTCGGGCGCGCCCACTACTTATTGCTGGTTTTACCCCCCCTAAATTACTCCCCAGGTACATGATGTTGATACTGTCGTGTCCGTTGAAGTGTCCTCTATCTGTTGGCATCGTCGTTATTATTGCTCGCGGACGTATTTTTCCGCAATACGGCCGGCAATAGATTTTTTCGGGCGCACCCACTACTTATTGCTGACTTTACCCCCCCTTTCTTATTCCCCAGGTACATGATATTGATACTGTTGTGTCCGTTAAACTGTCCTCTATCTGGTGACATCATCGGTTTCATGTTACGCGGTCGCATTTTGCCGCAAAACGGCCAGCAATAGATTTTAGCGGGCGGGCGTACTTCTTATTGCCAAGTTATTGCCAGGTTCACACAAGTGCCGAGCACTCTATCCACTACACCACGAACTCTGTTGGCTGTACATCGTATCATTATGGTAATGGTGTTCTGGGCCCCCACAACGCGGTGTTGTCACTGGTGGACGCCTAATCCACGCCTGGTTACCGGAGGTGTATCCCCTGTGTTATTTTGTATTTAGCCTTGGCTGCAATCTTTTGAATAATTGTTTTTTTCTGTTCAATGTCTGATGTTTTTGGCTACGTCATAATTTTGGTCACATAAACCAAAAAGGTCAGTATTAGCCTAGTCCTACTCGTGACGCAAGCGTATTCCTATCTATTCATCGAATCACACTTTGTTCACAGATTGCTCAGATATGATAATGGGATGGATGCATTTCGGTAAATTTGAACTTTCTGGACTTTTCTACCTTTCCTAAACCATTCCTACGATTCTAGTAAACAATAAAAGGCTGCACTTTAGTATCTGTCCTACACTCGTCCGAATGTAAAATATCGATATATAGATTATTCGATTTTAATTTAGGTGTTCACGTGATAGGGCTGCTGATATATTAAATATTTAAGTAAATAAGTACAACTGAGCACCCTGAATATTATATTTTATAAAAAGAAGTGACATGTTTCGGACATAAGTCCATTTTCAAACTTCAAAATACATTAAACATTTAACTGTTGTTTATGTTAAGAAAAAAACAACATAATGATAACATAATTAATAGTAAATAACCATGTTAACTTAGATACATTCAAGCATAAATATTAAATGTTGGCCTAAGTTAGGCTAAGTTATGCTAAATATTCATTTTCTGATATGGGTCATTAAAGAGGGCCGCCAGCCACTTTTTCAGTGCATTGCAGCTTTTAGGCCCTAGTTATAGTTTAGTTTAGTTTAATTAAATACATTAAGTATAGGCTAAACCAACATTTGTAGCTACAGTAGACTCCCTCTTATCCGGACACCTTTTAACCGGACATCGGTTTAACCGGACTACACTCGGCGTAAATTACATCTCTTTAACCGGACAATTTTTATCAGCACATTGGTTTAACCGGACTAGATCGGCAGGAAGTGGGCGGTACTGAAACGACTGTTCTCGTGGGAAAGATTTGAGACCAGTGATCACGTGTCTAAATACAATGCTCTCCTAAATTAAGTCAAATATTTGGCTTACATAACAAGTTTTTGGTGACGTCGGTTTAACCGGAAAACCCGTTATCCGGACTGGCCTCGGTCCCGAGGAGTCCGGATGAGAGGGAGTCTACTGTAACAAGTTAGAGTTACAATTAACAAAATTTTCAAAACCTTTTAGCATTTTCAGTTGTATCAATCTAACTTATGACCACTTAACATTCAACAATCTTATTATTAGCTTAATGCTTTAATTTATTTCAGAACTAGCTGTAACCCGCGGGCTTTGCCCCGTTTAACTTCTTAATTTTTTAAGATTATCTCGTTCGCATGGCTCAATCATGTCCTGGTTGAAGTTTGTTCGCTACGCTCACTCACCTTTAGGTTGGAGCTCGTTCGCTACGCTCACTCACCTTTAGGTTGGAGCTCGTTTGCTGCGCTCACTTGCCTTCAGGTTAGCTCGTTCGCTACGCTAACTCGCCTCCAGGTTGAAGTTCGTTCGCTGCGCTCACTCACCTTTTGGTTGCAAATTAGCTGTTGTCATAAATGTAAAAGAAATAATAGTGCTGCACCCTGTTGGTAATCCTTGTAACTTTAATGCTATTGAACATCATAGAACAGAACCAACTTGTTTAATTGAAACAGCTGTTAAGATTCAATAATTCCATTTCTCATAAGGTTAACATGGGAAACTCTAGAGCCACTGGGGCGGAGCCCGAAAGGGTTTTTGAAATAAGAACATGCCTATATGTTAATTGGGAATGTGAGCTATCATCATGCCAAATTTCAGCCCAATCCGACCAGTATTTTTCGCGTTCACTTGTCACAAACATACATCCATACATCCAAACTTTCTCATTTATAATATTAGTAGGATAGTAGGATAAGCTTTGAACCAATGTACTTATAAATTGACAGAGTAGAATTACATAGGCCTACCATAACTCTACCAGATAATCAACCCTGAAAGTCGGGATGATTTTAACGTATGCTGGACCCTGCTAAAGGTAATTTTGTTACAAATCGCACCAAACTATCGCTCGTTTAGCGGATTTATATGGGAAAATTAATTAAAACCATCAAGGTTTCCAATTTATATTTCTCTCTATAGGCCTATGGCTGGGTAGCTGAGTTGTTATCGTGCTCGTCTAAGCAAAAGGTCGCCGCTTCGATCCTGTGAAAAGTTCCTACTGGTAGCCTTTTGATGGTTCGAAACTGGACCCAGCTGTCCCTGATCGTTGGACCTTAAATAACTTATACTGGCTAATGAAACAACTGATCTTAGTCAGTAACAAAGCTACACAGAACATCTCACTACATTCTACACTCATCCATCATTCGTATTTGGGTTACAATGCGCAACTAGGTTACGTCCCCATCACAATGATTGATAATTGATAAACTTCATTTAAATTATACATTGTGATGTTTCAATTTAAGGTAGCTGATTTAATTACTTAGAAATTACCCAGGCTGTCATACGTTCAAAAGGACTTTTGTTTTTTAGCGAGAGAATTTACCTGAACTAAGTGACGAGGAGCGTGACGATACAGCTGAAGAATCTCCTGTTGTGGTTGTGTTGAAGCCAGGAGATCTGACTAAAGAGGAAGCAGATAATTTGAAGCAAAAGCAAGAATTAGGTAAGAGACAATTTTGTTGATGGTTTACATTCTAAGACAGCTCGGTCATTAGATAGACATGTTCACCAGAAGGGCCCATCTTTCAGGTAGGAAAGGGCCCAAACATTGAGAACAAAATTGGCCAAAGGCAAAATAAAAATGATCCTATCTTGTGGCTGGGCTAAGACCAGCTCTAGTGTAATGTTGTAGAATGCGACTCATACTTGGTGGAATCGTAGATTTTCCTGCTCATAGGTTTTACGAGACAAACTGTGGGTACCGGCTAGAATAGTGGATAAGGTATAGAACATTGTGTGCTGATGACAGGTTTTAACTTCTGTAGCTCACCTGTAACGGGAGCTCAGTAGAGTCCGCAATTTATGGACAGCCCACGTAGAAACAACCTATATATATGCAGATAGCAAATACATAGTTAAAGCAAAAGCTAGTAAGAGGGCTTAGCACTAGGGATGAGCATCGATAGTCAATGTTTTTGAAACATCGATGTTCAGTGTCTTTTACATTAATGGTAGAGTGCCGCTGGTTTTGTTACATCGATGTTTTTGTCAAATACCGATGTGTTTGGCCAAGTATTGATATATCGATGTTTTCCATGACTAAATTGTATTGGTTTTAGGTTAGGTTAATTAGCTGTTGCAGTACAAAGCAGGGTTGCCACCTTAGGTTAGAAAAAAATCGGGATATTGCCCCCCTTATCGGATTAACATAGGCTTAAATACGGGCATAAGGAACCAAAATCCGGACTGTCCCGGCGGAATCGGGACGGGTGGCAACCCTGGTACAGAGAGCAGACAAAAAACAGGAAAAAACATTGATTAACATTGATGTTTTAGCCCCGAGAACATTGACAATGTTATAGGTACATTGATAGTGAACATTGATGGTTGACCTATCGATGCTCATCCTTACTTAGCACAGATCTAAATCAACAATATATTGGAAAAAATTTCACGTAGACCTATAAAGAATAATAGATGCTGTCAAGTAAATGTTTTGCGCTCACTTTTGACAACAGTACTGAGATTAACTAAAAGATGACAAATATGTGTAAATGAGAGTTGCTTTCCCTACCCTGTTACTTTATATAATTACTTGTTTCTTAGAACAAACTCATAATAGCCTATAAATTGTACTCCAATCAGCAGCATTAAAACATTTGAAACTTTCCTTGGGTTAGGTTTCAAAAATATATTTTAAATTTATTAACCGAGAAGATCCTGGCACCCCAAACAGTTCTTTTCTGTTTGGGGGCGGTTGCTGGAAAGATATCGAGGTCAATTTTTTTCATCCCCAGTCCTCCGGTTTACAGGACTGCATCTAGTATCTAGTTAACACAATGGTTGATGGTTTTTTAAATATCAAAATGTGTTAAGTAGGAAGGGTAGCATTCAGAAATGGTTTTTTTTTGGGAGGGGAGGGCGTTAGAAGAGAAGTAACAGACACATTTAACCCTCCAATTGGCAGCTCTCTCCAAGCCATCACTAACATTTTCTCTCTCTCTCTTTCCTTTCCTCCCTCTGTTCCCCAAATGAGCTTCTGCCCGGGGAAATTTGAAGCATAAAAATGGGGTCCACCCTGATTTTTGGGGGGAGGGATCCATCAGCATTTCGGGTTTTAACAGAACAGATAGCGTTTGATATTGAAAGTAATTGGTGGAATGTCAAAAGAACTGCAATAAATAGGTTTTAAATTTTCCTGGGCTTTAAAAAACACTTTTAAGACTAAAGGTAATACATTTATACTGTTGTGTACTCTAAACTAGAAGTATGCTAAAACATAAAATATTTTACCGAAGTAATACATAGATAAAATCTATCTATAGGCCTATATTAATTAGCCTACGTAAGCCGATTCTTTGCGTCAAAATTGTGGGCGACTGGGAAGTCGTAGAATGACGGGAGAGGGCTCAAATTAAAGGTCTCGATCCCGTGACGGCGGGAAAAATAGAGAATTTTCCAAAATCTTAACACAAAATTAGATACAACGTATAAAATGTTCTCCATAAGAATTGTATTAGAAGGCATTTACTGCTGATTTTTGTTTACTTCAATACAGCTGATTGTGATTTATCACTAAGCAAGTAAGCAATATTACATTTGGATTACTCATTTGCCACTCAATTCTGCAATGTAATGTACACTATATAAAACCAACTATATAAAGGGATAACGTTACCCATAATAATCAAGACTTTTTAGTTATGTCCAAGATGAAATAAATTGTTTTCAAGATTAAAGAAACGATTCAAGATTAAATGAAGATCTTCTTTGTTTTGATTTCAAAACATATGTTAAATATTTAATCAACACTTTTTTTAAATTTACTAACATTTATATTTGACATTTATTGTAGTGTTTAATCAATATTTTGTATGAAGTGGAATAACCTCAACGGTTACTCTTAGAGAACAATTTGGGAATAAAGATGAAGTAGGTTCGTACTGGTATTTGTTCATTAAGTACTTAAGTACTTTGTTGCTCCAAGCAAAAAAGGTTCAAATAATATAGCCTAGCATGCTCGGTAGTAAAGGGAGCACCTATGTATAACAGTAGAACATAGAGGTAATTTCCGTTTCTTAAAACTAACCAACAATATTTATGTCGTGATTAGTTTCAATAACTGGGTAATGAAACCCTAACCAGTCGCAAAATAGTTAGTAATTAGACGTTGATTAGGCCTTTTTTTTGGTAGAATATGTAAATCAATCGCATCTTTGGGAGGATTACCACCACATATAATTGCACTAGGCTAATAGTGGTTTTTTTTAATGTTGATCAGAATCAAATTTAGGGTTAAGTTCTGTTAATGGGATGCCTTTACTTAAGACTAATTTTGTTAAACCTTTACAAAATGAGCATAGACTTAGAAATAATAACTGGGTAGGGTAGGGATGCTAATTTAGCGGTTTTGACCAAGAACTAAGTTTATCTCAACACACCACTTTTTTGCCTTTTCTTATTTGACGAAGACAATTTCCAATACTGTATTTTAATCGGGAAAGCCTTTTTATCAGCATTAACCAAAAAACCAAAGCTACCTTAATAAACCAATATTTATTCAAAAACATGTTTGCTGCCATTAGCAGTTAAACCTCTAGAATCATTCAAATTCTTTATTGAAAATAACATCAACAAAAGCAAACAAAGACAAACAACAAACTGTTTATTTTATTTTATTTTTTTACACAAAAGATATGTTGTACTGGGAAATCTATCCTGACACATAGATCATTTGACTCTGAGTCTGTTTAAGTATTACAATAATTTATTTTCCATTTGAGCTTTTTAGGGACTTATGTCCCTACAAGCCACTAGTTATATTTATTTATTTTGTGTTTGTCTATGCCAATTGGAGTTAAGATTTTTTGCCAGGAAACAGTCTGAGACTTGGGTCTTATTAATATCTAACTAGTGTCCCTACAAGCCACTAGTTATATTTATTTATTTTGTGTTGGTCTATGCCAATTGGAGTTAAGACTTTTTGCCAGGAAACAGTCTGAGACTTGGGTCTTATTAATATCTAACTAGTGTCCCTACAAGCCACTAGTTATATTTATTTATTTTGTGTTGGTCTATACCAATTGGAGTTAAGACTTTTTGCCAGGAAACAGTCCGAATCTTGGGTCTTATTAATATCTAATTAGTAAACACGTTGCTCGAAATCGAGCAATTGCAAAGAAGTAAAGTACCTAGTTATTTAAAAACAAATAAAAGTCATCATAATTTCCGATGAGTTAAAAAGACTTTGAATTGAAATAGTTATTTGTGTAACTAGTGGTGAAAGTGGCACTTTGCTGCACACGAGAGCAACGTTTACGCACGAGCCGCAGGCGAGTGCGGAATGATCTCGAGTGCAGCAAAGGCCTTTTTCACTCGTGTTACACATTATATTTTTCCTACAGTCACTATAAAACATAAATAATTAATAAATAATAGTCTTTCAAACACTATACAACACGTTTTTAGGTTCAGCTAGCAACACAATTACACAAATGGTGCCCTGGAGAAAGTAGTACCCGTGGTCCGTATCACTCCGCTATTTTTCCTCGGCAAGAAATGTGCTCCGTCTTTTGAGAATATAGTTCCGTATGTTTTTGTAATTTGAAGTGGTTTCCGCGCCTAAAAAAAATGCTTTAAAGGTATTTTCTTGTTTATTAAGACCATAGGAATGTTTTAAAAACGTTTAAAAGAAAAGTCCAGAAAGTTCAGAAATACCAAAACTATAAACACGAAATGACAGGTTAAATCGTAGTTATAATAGTCAATCAGCTGTTCATAGTATTATTATCTTTAAGTGTTGCCAACCTATTTCCAAGCGTACACGGATTACGTGCATAATAAAACCACGCTGTTTTGTGTTGTTTGGTTGGAATCCTGATGTGCGGCAAAGTATAAACCGTGCGGCAAAGTATAAACCGTGCGGCAAAGTATAAATATGCAGCAATTAGCAGCTTTCTGTACTATAAACAGTACAGGGAAGCCAACTTTGTCGGGTGACTGTAGGAAAAATAAATAACAGCAATTAAATTATACAGCTGATCAAAAGGTAAACAATTATGTTCTTCATAAGGATAACATGGGAACTTTAACAGCCACTGGGGCAGAGACCAAGGGACTTTTTCAAAAATGTAAGGTCAGTAATGGATAAAATTGGTTAAGAAATGGCGGAGGAGTTCAACCGACAAAGTTTTGTGTAGCGTATTAATTATATAAATGTGGACCTTTCAATAATTGATCACCTTATAAAATTGATGCTATTATTCATTTTAAATCAACTTTGATTATTTTAAGAAGTCAAATTTAAATATGGGACGATTACCATGTTGTTTGGTGGCTCTATAGATGTGAGGAGATGTATGTATGACTGGGACAGTCTGCTGTTGTGACATTTTTAAAGCAATTACTCCAGCTGGGTATTTACAATGGACATGTCATGTGCATTCTCCACAAGATGTTAATGTTTGTAATAAAATTAATGCATATCCGCATTACATAACTCTA